CAGTGGCTGGCCTACTTGCTTCAGGCGCGGCCCGCATCGTCCCGGCCGAGGAGCCGGTCACCTGTGTTAGCCCACTAAACGTGGTTGTTCAGCCTTCTAAGAAACGACTTATACTGGACCTACGGCATGTAAATTCATTCCTTTCCATCCCTCGATTCCGGTACGAAGGACTCAACAGGGTCCCCGACCTAGTCCATAAAGGCGATTGGTTGTTCACCATCGACCTCAAGTCGGGTTATCACCACGTGGACATTCACCCGTCATTTTGGCGGTTCCTCGGATTTTCCCTGCAAGGCCAACGATACCAGTTTCTGTCACTACCCTTCGGGCTTGCTACAGCGCCCTTCGTGTTCACACAGCTAATTAAGCAGTTGGCAAAGCGTTGGCGCAGTAGAGGGATCCGATTAATTCCTTACGTTGACGACCTTTTGTTCATATGCGCTACGCGAACCGAAGCGTTCCGGACCCGCACCATCATTCTAGACGACCTCGGGTCCGCAGGTTTTATCGTCAACACGGACAAATCACAGCTTGAACCGTCGCAACGGCTTAAATTCCTTGGCCTCATATTGGATACTAGTACAACATCCTTCTCCGTCGACGTTACCCGTCGAGATCGGTTGTTCGACGAGCTCGAGCAAATTTGTCAGATCAGCACACAGGGGCGTCGCATCCCGGTTCGACGCGCAGCTAGGGTGACAGGCATGCTAGCTTCCATGGCTATGGCGCTTGGTACCATAGCCCGTGCATTCTCACATAACCTGATCTCTCAAATCAGTGCGTGTCAATCCTGGGGAGACTCCATCCGTTTGACGTCGGAGTCGATCGACGAGTTGCGATTCTGGCTGACACAGTTCGACGTTTTCAATGGTTCCTGCTTCCACAACCCAAATGTGTACGACATCGTCATGTACGTCGATGCAAGCGACCATGCTTGGGGAAGCTGTTACTCCACGCCAGATGGCCGTGTCGGCTCGCAATCCTTCCGATTTCCCCAGTCACTATCAGTCGCATCGAGCACGCTTCGCGAACTCGCCGGGATTCTCTGGGCACTGTCGACCTTTAGCTGCGAGATCCAACGCTCGCACGTCCTACTTCGAAGCGACAGTCAAGCGGCCTACTATATTCTAAAAAAGGGTGGTTCTCGCCAAGCCAACCTCACTCTCATCTGCCGCGCCATTATCACACTTTGTGTGCATCACAAGAATCGATTAACGGTGCAATGGATCCCCCGCGAACTCAATACCGAAGCCGACGCCCTTTCAAAGATTGACCTACACGACGACTACTCTCTCGCACGGACGTGGTTCCTTTTACTCGAGCGCCGCTGGGGCCCACATTCAATCGACCTATTTTCCTCGTCCTCCAACGCACAATTACGCCGGTTTTGCTCCCTAGACTATCATCCGCATGCGGTCGCCCAAGACGCGTTCTCTCTTAGTTGGAACGGTGAAAATTGCTACGCCTTCCCACCGCCGTCCATGATCCCCGCCGTCCTCGCCCACGCGCGTCGATCTCGTACTACAATAACTCTCGTTATCCCGGAATGGCCTAGCGCCTTCTGGTGGCCACTACTTTGCCCAGACAGCACTACGTGGGCGCATGATATACGGGCGAGCATATATCTCGCTCACGGTCCAACATGTCTACGTGTTGGTAGTGATACGCTGGCCTTTAGTGGTGCCGGTATCCCCCATTCGCATATGTATGCTCTTCGTTTGATATATACTAATCCATAGCCTTGTAAACATGCAGGTTCATATATTGGACGTTTGATGGGGGACCTCTTAATGCTTACTGTCGATTTGCGCGCCCAATCCACGATCCGCACATACGAACCCTACTGGCGACAGTATCGCACATTCTGTCAAGAGCATTCGTTGTCGTTTCTCCCTGCCACGGACCTAACATCCGCGCTATTCTTACTGCACTCAGTACGCAGGGGTGCCACGGTCTCCGCCGTGCGATCTGCCTGCTCTGCAATTTCTTGCGCCCACTGGTTGGTCGACTGCCCATCTCCTATTCGAGGACCGCTCTCCTCACAAGTAAAGGAGTACGCGAAACGACACTGCGGCAAACCTTCCGTGCCAAAGGAACCTATACCCCCTGCTAAGATTTATGACATTTGCGATATCTACTTCTCGTCGACGGATCCTGCCATCTTCCAGCGCGGTCTCATCCCTCTTCTTATGTTTGCAGCTTTCCTGCGCTTCTCCGACCTCGTTGCCCTTCAATGGCACCAAATCGAGTTCGACCGCGACTGCATGTGGCTGTTCATCCCCCGCTCAAAAACGGACCAGGCCGGCACAGGCGCCTGGGTCCCAGTCGCCGCCTCTTCTGCCCGCCACTGCCCTGTCACTCGCGTACGGCAATTTCTCTTCCTCGCTGGCTTCTCTGCGCAAACCTTAGGCCCCCTTATTCGGGTGTTCCCGCCTGCTGCGCGGGCTTCGCCATCCGATCGATCCCCATCCTACGCCACGGTCCGAGGCTGGTGTCGCGAGGCATTTTGTCGTGTTGGCCTCAACTCGAATCTGCTCGGCACGCATTCCTTTCGCAAGTCTGCCGCCACCGTGGCTGTCGATGTTGGCGTGCCTGATCGCCTCTTCAAGGCCCTCGGCCGGTGGCGTAGCGACAAGGCTCGGGAGTTGTACGTCACCCAGTTGGACCGCGAGTTGGTGACGGCATCGCGTACCCTTCAGGATCCGACGAGACCTAGCTCTACCTACCGTTACGCATCCACTCTCGCACGCCATCGTCATCCTCCGCCTATTTGATGTCTCGTTTACCTATGACGACTGCACTGCACACTCCTCGGAGAGTCGTGTCACAATATGTAAAATTTTTAAAGTTAAACTTCTAAAAATTTGAAGATTGTGATTCGACTAGAAGAGGAGTTTGCTGTAAAGGAGACAAACTCCTTTTCATTCCCGCAGGTCTCTCAGACCTGCCACCTAGTCTCATTTGCATTTTCAGATCTCCAATTTGCTTCCCTCCCACCCAATTCCCCTTTTTTTTAGTTACATAGAGTTTATGATACCCTATTTGAATACTCATTGTTATTGCTCATTTGAGTGTGCTGTACAAATGGGATTTGTAATGCTATGACGACTGCACTGCACACTCCTCGGAGAGTCGTGTCACAATCGGGAGTCAGTGCATCCAACCAGGCACACACACTGCCGCATTCTCAGGCACTGGATTTCCCAATAGCCCGATTATTGCATTGTCCATTGACTTTACAATGTAACTCATATATATTCCATGTATGGCAGATATATTATCCAACCTTCAAAAGCAACTCCTCTCGGTAATCAGCCAAGTACGAGCTCCTTCAACAATCCGCACCTACGACCCCTACTGGGGAAAATTCCGATCATTCTGTAACAAGCTATCACTGAGCTACCTACCCGCCACAGACTTGACACTCGCGCTGTACCTGGTATACGCCCTCAACAAGCACGCCACCCTGTCCGCCATCACGCTGACCTGTTCGGCAGTCGCATTCGCACACAAGATGACTGGCCTTACTTGTCCCACGAACGGCCCCTTCACTTCCCAGGTCCGAGAATTCGCCAAGCGCCGCTCCCCGCGCCCAAACAGGACTAAAGAACCCGTGTCTCTTCACCAGGTTCACCAGATGACACACGAGTTCATCGCATCCGACATTCCCTCCGTATTCCAGAAAGGCCTCATCCCACTGCTCATGTACACGGGCTTTCTCCGCTTCTCGGACCTCGTCACAATTCAGTGGCAAGACATCCAGTTCGAGGAGGCGGCGATGTGGCTATTGATTCCCCACTCCAAAACGGACCAAGAAGGCAAGGGAATATGGGTCCCAATCGCGACTACACCCGAACCATATTGCCCAGTAAATATCACCAGACAGTTCATCTCGCTTGCCGGCTACGACGCCTCGACCAAAGGACCACTGATACGGGTGTTCACACGTGACTCCAAAGCAACTCCGCACGACCACGCGCCTTCGTACCCAACTGTTCGCAATTGGTGCTTGGAAGCATTCAAAAAGGTTGGCCTCAACGCCAACCACCTTGGCACGCACTCCTTCCGCAAAGGAGCAGCAACGACGGCGGCAGGCATCGGAGTCTCAGATAGGATGTTCAAGCGGTTGGGCCGTTGGCGCAGCGACAACGCAAAAGACCTCTACGTCACCATCGCACACGACCAGCTTGTGGCTGCCTCCCAGCTGATTCAGGATCCTACACGGGCTCCCTCCCCGAACCAGCACCAATTGTCTATCCAGCGGCATCGCCGACCGACCACTCGCTTGTCTCAGAAGGCCCATATGAAATGAAGCACGATGCCTTTACAAGTTGCAGAAAGCAAGCTTTCACAATATGTAAAATTTTAAAAGTGTGTAACACTTTTCAAAATTGTGTATTGTGAAAGGGTAGCGATTGCCAATGCAGCAAAGGCAGCGTCGCATCGCTACTCGCCCTCTTTTGGCTACAAAAGAGGGGGTTGAGGCCATTCGGCCTCACCCACGTTCTTCTTTTCAATTTCGAAGTTTGAGTTTCCCACCCACCCACCCAGGTAGTCATTGTCTCTAAGATTCTTGCTGTAATCGTAGTTATCATTGGACGAGATTGATGTACTCATACCCATATGAAATGAAGCACGATGCCTTTACAAGTTGCAGAAAGCAAGCTTTCACAATACAGCCTTTACTCTAACTGATGATCTAGGAACTCCACATTATCAACACATTTCAGGGTCCTGACAAGGCACTCAAGCTACTTGATTGCAACTATTATTACCAATGTAACATAACATCGGGTGTGCAGCACTGTGTGACAATGTACACAAGATGAATTCAGGTGCTCTGACAAATCCAAGAATGAGAACATCAAGTATACTAAGCGGTTCACATCAAACTGAGAACCGGCACAATAAACCAAGGTCAACTTCCAAAGTAATATGTTCCAATCAGCCAGCGGATTGAGTTGATGCACTGTACTGTATGTTGCATCGAAAGCTGATGCCTACTGCCCTCTGCTTCTAGCGAACTCAAGCCACTGCAACAGAGGGAAACAGGGAGCGGACAGACAGGGAGGGCAGTTAGGGAGAGGGAGACGACACAGACACAAAGGGATGGGAATCAGGGGTAAGGAGCCGGTGGTACAACCAGCAGCAGCATATAGAGAAGCAAAGTATCAATCTCAAGATCGGTGTCCCACCAAACAGTACATCAATCATATGCCATCCCTGTCACTCACTGATAAAGTCACCTCTTCAGCCCCATGCCAATTTTCCATGCCAGCATTTTCCATGCCAGCATTTTCCTTGCCAGCATTTTCCATGCCAGCATTTTCCTTGCCAGCATTTTCCATGCCAGCATTTTCCATGCCAGCATTTTCCATGCCAGCATTTTCCATGCCAGCATTTTCCTTGCCAGCATTTTCCATGCCAGCATTTTCCATGCCAGCATTTTCCATGCCAGCATTTTCCATGCCAGCATTTTCCTTGCCAGCATTTTCCATGCCAGCATTTTCCATGCCAGCATTTTCCATGCCAGCATTTTCCATGCCAGCATTTTCCTTGCCAGCATTTTCCTTGCCAGCATTTTCCTTGCCAGCATTTTCCATGCCAGCATTTTCCTTGCCAGCATTTTCCTTGCCAGCATTTTCCATGCCAGCATTTTCCTTGCCAGCATTTTCCATGCCAGCATTTTCCTTGCCAGCATTTTCCTTGCCAGCATTTTCCATGCCAGCATTTTCCTTGCCAGCATTTTCCATGCCAGCATTTTCCATGCCAGCATTTTCCATGCCAGCATTTTCCATGCCAGCATTTTCCTTGCCAGCATTTTCCATGCCAGCATTTTCCATGCCAGCATTTTCCATGCCAGCATTTTCCTTGCCAGCATTTTCCATGCCAGCATTTTCCATGCCAGCATTTTCCATGCCAGCATTTTCCATGCCAGCATTTTCCATGCCAGCATTTTCCTTGCCAGCATTTTCCTTGCCAGCATTTTCCTTGCCAGCATTTTCCATGCCAGCATTTTCCTTGCCAGCATTTTCCTTGCCAGCATTTTCCATGCCAGCATTTTCCTTGCCAGCATTTTCCATGCCAGCATTTTCCTTGCCAGCATTTTCCTTGCCAGCATTTTCCATGCCAGCATTTTCCTTGCCAGCATTTTCCATGCCAGCATTTTCCATGCCAGCATTTTCCATGCCAGCATTTTCCATGCCAGCATTTTCCATGCCAGCATTTTCCTTGCCAGCATTTTCCTTGCCAGCATTTTCCATGCCAGCATTTTCCTTGCCAGCATTTTCCTTGCCAGCATTTTCCTTGCCAGCATTTTCCATGCCAGCATTTTCCTTGCCAGCATTTTCCATGCCAGCATTTTCCATGCCATACCTGTCTAAGCAGGCCTGCCAGCGTGCGAGGGAGCGCGTGGATGTCCCTCAACAGGATGTAGTAGGGGAAGGGGAAGGAGTCGAGGTAGCTTGAGAAGGCTGGGACCCCGTCTGAGAATGACACGGACTGCAGTAGGGGTGCGAGAGAGGGCATGGAGAAACAGGATATGGCTTGTATGAATCTCAAAGTCAGTTCAGGTAGGTTGAGAGAAGGCTGGGACCCCGTCTGAGAATGACACGGACTGCAGTAGGGGTGCGAGAGAGGGCATGGAGAAACAGGATATGGCTTGTATGAATCTCAAAGTCAGTTCAGGTAGGTTGAGAGAAGGCTGGGACCCCGTCTGAGAATGACACGGACTGCAGGAGGGGTGCGAGAGAGGACAGGGAGGAATGGGGCCAAGACAGGGGATAGAAGGGTTGAGGAAACGGAGGGAGAGTGTGTTGCTGTAGCGGTTGGTATCTGAGCAGACTTCAGCTGTTGGTTGGGGCCAAGACATGGGATAAAAGGGTTGATGGTACTGAGAGTTCATTGTGTATGGGAGTAGCAGACAATGCAGGCTTTCTCGGAGGAAAAAAAAAAAAAAAAGTAGGTAGCAGACAATGCAGTCTTTCTCGGTGAAAAAAAAGGAGAAAAAAGTAGGGCATTCTTGGTTGTCGGGTTTTGGGCAGGTTTGGGGTTTTGGACGGCTGCAGGTGATTGAGATTTTGCCAGAGTGCGCATACCTGCATGTCAAGGATGGATTCAGAAGGGCTGTCGAGCAGAATGAAGGCCAGCAGCTGCCCCTTGCCCATGGCATGCCGCACTGTGCGCCTTAGGGTCTCCTGGTGCGGTGGGCGCATGGGGGGTGTGGGTGTGATGAAGGCAGGGAGAGAGCGTTAGGGCAAGAACGTGTGTGTTGGGGAAGCGATGAGGTTGTGGGGGGCGTGGGGGATGGTAAGACATAGGGGGCCGAGGGGGACGGAAAGGGGCGTGGTTGCGCCACGCTGTATGCCATGCCGTGTCACACCAGACCTTCTCATGGAACCGTCCATCCGCCACAATCAGCACCAGCTGCTCCAGATGCCCGCCTCCTCCCGTGCCCGCACTCGTAGAGTATCTCATAGCAGCAGAGTCCAGCGCCCCAGACAGAAACCGCAGCAGCTCCACCATTGGCTCATCTGCAATCGTGTTGTCCTGCTTGAAGGAAAATTGCGAGATGACCTGAACGGCTGCTTCGGGGGAGAACGGCCGATCCAACTCATGCAGCATGCGCACGTTGCCAGGCTCGCCGAAAGCAACGACCCCGATCTCCCCAACCTCGATCGTCGACATCGCTCGGCAAATCGTGGCCATTGCTTCAAGCGCTAAGTGCCCGCACCGCGCCTCCGACATGCTTCTCGAGTCATCAATAGCAAGAACCACCTGGTACTTGCGCTTATCCGGGCGGGTTCTCCTTAACCAGATTTTATCCCGCTTGAACCCGCTCGCAATGTACGGGATCACCTTCTTCATGTTGATTCTCTTCCCAGACCGGTAGTCTCCTTGCAGTTTGGTGGCCATGAAAGGTTCTAGAATGAGCCGCAGCTGCTCTGCTAGCTCCTGAGAGGCACCGCTGCACAGCAGCTCGTATTTGCGCCATGCGTCGCGCGCCGCTTCGAGCTTCTGCCGGCCCTCCTCGCTCTCCCGCATACGCTGCATCTGCGCTTCTACCTCAGCTCGCATGCGCTCTAATTCGATCTCGGTCCACACCTTCTCCCTCGCGCCGCCAGCAGCGTTCTCCCCCTCTCCTGCTCCTTCCTCTTCCGCTTCTCCCTCTTCCTTCTCCCCATCTGCCTCTCGCAAACGCGCCGTTTCCTTCACCTCCTCTTTCCATTTCATGGAAACGAAGCTAGAATCCATGGCTCCAGATGCGTCCCCATCCACCTCCATCTCTTCACCTTCCTCCAATTCTTCCTCTTCCTCCTCCTCCTCACCCTCCTTCGCGCCTCCTGCCTCCTCCCCCTCCCCATCCTCCTCCTCGGCTGCATCTTTCATGAGCTTCTGTTTGTTCTTCCCTCCCTGCCCCCCCCCTGTGACTGTCTCCAACTCCTTCCCTTCCTCCTCACCCTCCTCTTTCTTCTTCTCCGCTTCCTCCTCCTCGTCCCCCACCTGCCCTTCTGCACCTTCCTCCTCTTCATCCACCATCTTCCCTTTCATCTCCTTCATCTGCTCTTCCGTCGCTGCTCCTGCAGCCTGCCCTGTTCCCTCCTCTTCACCCTTCACATACTCATACTCCTCTCCCTCTGCATCCTTATCCTTCTCACTCTCTCCCTCTACCTCCTTCTCCTCTTCTTCCTCCTCCTCCTCCATATCACCTGCAATACTTATCTTCTTTTTCCAAGCCTCCAAAGCACTCCCCAAGCTCCTCATCGGGTTCACTTCTTCCTTCTCCTTCTTCCTCTTCTCCTTTTTCCCTCCCTCCTCCCCCTTCCTCCTCTCCTTCCCACCCTCCATACTCCTCTCACTCTTCTTCCTAACCTCCTCTTCCTTCTCCTCCTCCTTCCCTTGCCCCTTCGTCTCCTTCTCCTCCTCTTCCATGCCCATCACATCAACAGAAGCAGTACCTGCAGCTCTCACCCCAGCCACTTGCTCATTCCCATCCTGCTGCTGATCTCTAGCTGATTTCGTTCCCTTAATGTCTTTCTCCTCCTCCATCTGCTCTTCTGCTACTGCTGCCTCTGCACCTGTACCCATGTTCTCAGGCTCTTTCTCCTCCCCCTCCTCTCCCTCCTCCTCACCTCCCTCCCCATCCTCATCCCTCATCTCCCCTTCTTCTCCCTCCTCACCCTCCTCACCTTCCTCCTTCTCCACATCACCATCCCTCTCCTCCTCATCACCCTCCCCTTCTCCCTCACCCTTCTCCTCCCCATCCTCCTGCGCACCCTCCTCATCCCCACCACCAGCAGCATCAGCAGCAGCGCCACCAGCGCCATCATTCGCCCCATCCATCTCATCCCACTCATCATCCTTCACCTCTCCCTCCTCTTCCTCCTCCTCCTCCTCTACTTGTGGTTTCCCGTGCGATCCCATAGCCTCTTTTGCTTCTTCTACCTCTGCCTCCCCTTCCTCCGCTCCCTCCTCCTTTCCACCCTGCTCTCCTTCGTCGATCTCCATATCATCCGGAAGGTCTAATTCCGGAACCTCCTCTTCTTTTCTCGGTGTAATCCCGTGAGATTCCTCCATCTCCTCCCCTTCCTCCTCTCCTTCTCCCTGCCACTCGTTCACCTCACCCTCCTCCTCTCCCCCTTCCTCCTCTGCCCCGTCTCCCTCCTCCTCCCCTTGCTTCTTCCCCTTCTCGTCCTTCTTCGCTTGCTGATCCTCCTTCCCTTTCTCCTCCTTCTCCTCCTTTGCACAATCCTTCTCCCCACCCTCCTTATCATCCTCCCCTCCCTCCCCTCCCTCCTCATCCTCCTCCTCATCCTTCCCCCTATACTCCAAATCCTCCTCCCGCGCCCCCGAAATCGTCGAATCTTTCTCAAACTTCTCCTTCTCTCTCTTCCCCTCCTTCTCCTCCTCCTCATCCCCCTTCCAAATCTTCTCATCAACCACATCAGCATTATCACCAACATCTCCCATCTCCTCATCCAGTTGCTGTTCCTCCTCTCCCTCCTCCTCCTTCTCCTGATCCTCCTCCTCATCCTCGCTTATATCATGCATATCCCCATCAAAGTCTTGCTGCATTTCTATTCCCTTGGGTAGCTTGTCGTCCGTGCCCTTCTCCCCTTCCTCCTGCTCATGTTCGTAGAGGGCAGGTGCGTAGTGAGAAAGATGGAAGAGAGGTGTGAAAATGCAGAGGGAAGTGGGAATGGAGAGAGAAGTGGGAATGCAGAGAGAAGTGGGAATGGAAGGAGAAGTGGGAATGCAGAGAGAAGTGGGAATGGAGGGAGAAGTGGGAATGCAGAGAGAAGTGGGAATGGAGGGAGAAGTGGGAATGCAGAGAGAAGTGGGAATGGAGGGAGAAGTGGGAATGCAGAGAGAAGTGAGATACACCTCTTCGATGTGCTTTTGAGCCGGTTTAAACATGACCTTAACAAGAACGTCTAACATACACACACTTGCCTACTTTTACCTCTGAAAACATCTCAAAACCTCTAACAGCAGACATACCTGCTTCTCATCCTGAATGTCAATCAGCTGGCTCGTGCCCTCTGTCAGTTTTTCTCTAAGAATTCTCAAACTCCTCTAGGGACGTCTCACAACAACCTCCAGCAGAAGCATACATACATACCTGCTTCTCGTCCCGCGTGCCCATCAGGTAATACTCATCCTCTACCAGAGGTTTCTGAGAGTTCACTTAAATACCTCTGAAAAAGTCTCGCAAGTCTTCTAGAAGCACACACACATACACACCTGCTTCTCGTCCTGCGTGCCCATGAGCTGGTTCTCGTCCTCGATCTCATCGCTCACATCCGTCTTGCCCTGCCCCTCGCCCATGCCCGTGCCCTCCTCCTCCTCAAACTTCCCCGCGCCCTTGCCCGCCTCCTCCTCCTGAGCGTCCTTTGGCGTGCAAAAACCTTCAACGAACAGAGCAGTGAAGAGATTCGCCAGCACGTGGGTCAGCTTGGCCACCTGGAGAGAAGGAGACAAAAGGTGGGGGGAGTTGAAAGGAGAGTACATGAGTCCTTGGGCGTCCAGAAGCCTTGGACAAAGAGCGCTGTGAAGAGGTTTGCCAGCACGTGGGCGAGCTTGGCCACCTGGAGAGGGGGAGACAAAGGGAAGGGGTGAAAGGAGCAGAGTACATTAATGCTTGGGCGTGCAGAAGAACTCGCGAGGAAGAGAGAGCGGTGAAGAGGTTTGCCAGCACGTGGGCGAGCTTGGCCACCTGAGGGAGGTGAAACGGGAGAGGGGAAAGGAGAAGAGCACGATGCCTTTTAAGCATCCACATGGGCGAGGGGAACGCATTGCGGTGTGAGTGAATTAGCAGAAAAGAATAGACTGGGTTGATTGCTAGAGACGAAGGACGAGCGCAAGAATGCGCTTTTCAAAGCGGTTGGCCCTTATGAGATGCCTGTTTGGAACCGAGAGGCAAGGCTTACAGCTTTGTGCAGCGAGAGGAAGCTTCCTAGAAGGTGGAGCGATGCCGTGACCACTAGATCCAACATCACGTGAAGCTGAGCAATTCGCTGCGTTACCGCTGCTGCCGCTGCCGCTGATGCTTCTTGTGATGTTGCTGAATTGGAACTGGCCTTACTGTTTGCATCAGCCACAGAGCTCTGCAATATGAGCCAGAGGCAGCAAACAGTAAGGAGCGACGCAGAGCAGTGAGGTGTAAACGAGAGAGGTTAGCTTCGAATGTGCGAACGTACAGAAGAAAGACCAAACAAAAAGGAAAGAACTATTGTATTGGAGTTGTGAACGTACGGCAGCAAGCACCACGGCATCGACAGCAGCCACCATGTGGGGTAGCCGCAGCACCAGCATTCGCCGCTCTGCCTCCTTGCTCCACCCCACAATACTCCCCTCCACCCCTTCCAACTCCCCACCACCATCCTCAACCAATCCTGCACCCTCCTTCCCTTCCTCCACCACCAACTCTTCCTCTCCCTCTTGCCCTTCCTCCCCTGCCCCCGCCTCTTTCTCCTCTCCTTTCGCCTCTGCATCTCTTGCTGCAAGGGCCTGAGTGCTCTGTTTTGCAGAGCGAGAGAGGGACTGCACCCCCAGAAGCACCTGGGTCAGTGCTGTGTCATATGCAGAGTGGAACGCAGTCAAGCTGGCTGCAAACTCCGGAGTCAGATTGGCAGTGTGGGAAGGGGTAGTGGTGTTCTCGGTTTGAGTAGGAGATGCTTCGGTGGAAGGTGGTGTGGCGTGGCTTCCTGGTGTTGGTTGTTCTTCTGGTTGTGCTGGCACTATGGTGGAGGAGAACGGGTCCAGGATCTGCTTGCATTGAAGTGCCACACCATTTGCCTGGTTGGGAGTAAGGAATAGCATGGGAGATGCAGAGCGAAGGGCGGTTGGGGTTGGGGGAGACCTTTATCTGGTGCTGCAAAACCAGCAGCACAGATCCACATGCGTGAAGAGCTGACTTTTGAGTCGACTCAAATGGCTGGTGAACTGCTTGCTGCAACGCACAACTCAAATGGCTCGTGAATGTGCACGTGACAATATACGAGGCGAAGAAACGAGACAGACGTGTACACTGCGTGCAACTGTGATAATAGTCCAGTGTCTGCCCACCCACCATAGCAGGCAGGCAATACAGATTTCAGTCTCCTTTCCCTCATACCTTGATGAAGGCCTCCCGCAGGACCCTCCATCCAGGCACCCATCGCGTGAGGGAATCCGCACCAGCAGCACCATCATCCGCTTCTGCACCAGCACCCTCACTGCCCTCACCACCAGCAGCAGCATCAGCATCGGCAGCAGCAGCAGCATCAGCATCGGCAGCATCAGCAGCATCAGCATCGGCAGCATCAGCAGCAGCAGAAGCAGGGGCAGGAGCAGGTAGACTCCATTCCAGAGACTGCTGCAAGTGCTGGTAGATTTGTTTGATGTGAGAGAAGTTGGAGAGAAGGACGTGGGGGGCGGTTGGTGGGAGGAGAGTGGGAGGCGAGGAGGCGAGGAGGCCGGGCGTGCTGGTGGTGGGTGCGGGCTGTAGGAAGAGGAGAGACGCCTGCAGTCTGGTCAGATCTTCTATGCCACGTGTCACAGCTGTTGCTGCTGAGGCTGCTGATGGAGCGCCAGGTGGCAGCTCGTGCCAGGTGGCAGCGGCAGAGGCGACCAGCTGGCGGAGGTCGCCGAGGGAGGCCAGTAGAGAGGAGACAAGTTGCTGCGTGGTTGGGGGGAAGGGAATCGGGGGGAGCAGGGGAAAGAAGGGGTACGGGAGTTGCAGGAGAGGGGAGAAATTGGTGGGTTCTTGAGCAGGTGCTGAGGGGTTCAGATGGAAAACATCAGATGTGTAAATCAAGGTGCTTTTCACTTTGACCAGAAGATTCGGGATGGAGATGGAGCAGCAGGGCCAAGGGAGAGGGAGAATAAGAACAAATAGAACACATGCCTTTGCTTCCTGACTTGAGAAATATGCACAAGATTCTGTACCTGCTGGGTCGAAAGCCAGAAGGCCACGAGTGACTGTGGGGGAAGGGGGCTCCAACTGCTCATGCTGCTGCTGCTGCTGGAGTTGGTGCCGGTGTTGGTGCTGGGAGCTGCTGTATGGTGAACACACATATGCACACAGAGAGGAGACGAGAATGATCAAATTAGGGTTCCCATCCACGTCCAATTCACATCAAATTATTCCGTTGGTGCACCTTTTGCTAGGGACAGCAGAAGCCATCATCATTCAATTCAATACATCCCAGGCACCTCAACTCAGCCTTAAACGACGGTCACTCTTGAGCCTTGTAACATCCTTGCTTTGCACTAGCAAGGTTGTCCAGCAGTGCACAAGGTTAATGCGACAGGGTCACAGGGTCTTGTGTTGACAAGCACCCACTCTAACGGCTCTCTCTACAAGCCTGCAGCGAATTTCTCAAGGCCTGTCACATTACACCCACAAGGCTTTCAGCAAGCTGTGCAGGAAAAATATAATTCTTCAGACCATTAGGATCGAGTGCGGGTGGACGCACCGAGAGCAGCCAAGGTGGAGGCAGCGGAAAAAGGGTCGGACGTTTTTATGAGGCGCCTAAAAAAGGAACTGTTTTTTCAAACAAGTGGAGTGCGAGTGAGTGGGCGCACCAAGAGCAGCGAAGGTGGAGGCAGCGGAAGCAAGGCGAGTGATGCTCAAGGCTGCTGTCTGCGCTGTGGCCCGCTGAGAGGTCTGCACGAACAGCAGATGCTCCAACATGCGCGTTGCTATCGTCACCTGATAAGACACGGCAATGAAGGGGAGGGATGGGGCAGATGGGGAAGGTGGACGTAAAAAGTCCTCCTGAGGTGGCTCAAAGGAAGAGAAGATGCTCCAACATGCGCGTTGCTATGGTCACCGGGTGATGTGAGGGGGCGTTGAGGAGGCATGAGGGAGATAGGGGAGATGTGAAAGAGCATGCGAAGAAATGCTATCGAAGAGCATAGCCTTTCAAGTAATGAAGTAGTACCAGAAAGGTAACCAGTAAACTCCAGGTTCCATCCCACCCATCATTACCACTCTCTCCGATGCCTTTCACATTTCCCCCCGTCCCTCCTTCTGCACCTGCCCCCCCCCCCTCGCTCCTCTTAACATGAAAGAAGCACTTGGTACCAAGACATTCATTCACGCACCTCTCTGAGAGTGAGGTCCTTGTGGAACGATTGGCCGGCCTGCCACACACGCTGCAGCCGCGCCATGTTGCCAAAGTAGTACCCACTCGCACGCTGCCACGTCGCCACCCCCGCCTCCGCCAGCTGGCGCACCCTCAGAGGGTTTGCTGACGTGGCCAGCTGCTTGCTGTCCTTCCCGGGCTGCTGTGGCTGGTGCTGGTCTTGCTGCAGTGAGGCTATGAGCTGCAGCAGGTGATCAACGTCTGTTGGTTGCTGGCGGAACCACGAGTGCGGTGTGCGTTGGTGCTGCGGTGAGGAAGCAAACGAGGGAGACGTGGAGAGAGAGAACAGAGAACCAAGAAAACAGGAGAGGGGAAGCGGGGGAGTCAGAGGCAGAGAGTTTATACATGGACCGCTGATAAGAGTTTGTTCAGGAAGAGTCAGGAAGAAACTGAGAAGACATGCAAGCAACAGGTTCGTTCATAAAGCAGAAGCAGGGAAGGAACAGCTAGGATTTGAAGCTGCCATTATGAATAGCTGGAAGAATTCATCATCATATCACACCACACGTCCACATGACTACTCAATTTTCGATAGCAGTCCTTACCTCAGGCACAGCAGTGCGTCTAGAGCTAACACCGAGGCCTTTCAGCGTCCTGAGCAGATCCACCACTGCCTTTTTCTTCAATGCACGAACCAGCCCCCTGTGACTGCCTCCTTCCTTCTTCTCCCCTCCTGCACCTCCCTTCCCAGCCCCTCCCTTCCCATCCCCTCCACCTGCTTCCGCCTTGCTCTTCCCCTCTTCCCGCTCCCACTTCTCCCCCAGCGCCCGCAGCTCAAAGCAGCGGGAGATGACTGTGACTGATAGATCTTCCACTGTCTCTGCTGCTTCCATGTCTGCTGCTGCTGTGCCCGCAGGGAGAGGAGACCTCCCGTCACCATCACCACCAGCAGCAGCGGCAGTTGTGGCAGTAGAACTGGCAACGGCACCGGAGGCAGCAGGAGTATCAGCACCGGTATCGGGATCGTTGGAAAAGGGGAGGGTTGGGGAGGAGAGGGCAGTGGAGAGAAGAGAGGCTGCTCGAGAGGCCAGGGCGGATATTGGAAGCTGCTTCAGCACTCCTGCTGGATAGAGGGAGACATGTGAAAGGGTCAGGGAAGAGGGGGAAGGGGGAGGGAGGAGAATGGGGAAGAATGAATGGGAAGGATGGAGGAGCAAGGGGATGAATGAGTAGGAAGGGGGAGGGAGGAGAAAAGGGAAGAATGAGTAGGAAGGAGAGGGAGGAGGAGAAAGGAGGAGGAAAGGGAGGGAAGAGGAAGGGAGTGAGGTGGTGAGAGACAAAGAGATGGAGTGCGAGGAAGGCAGAGGTGTTTGTAAGAAGGTGTGGTGGTGTGGTGTTGCGGTGGTGCAGTGGTGCGGTGGTGGGGTGGTGCGGTGGTGCGGTGGTGCGGTGGTGTGGTGGTGTGGTGGTGTGGTGGTGTGGTGGTGTGGTGGTGACAAAACAAACTTGTCACCAGTTCGACTCAAACCGAACTGCAGCTCGGTTCTTCGCTCAAACCTATTGACAAGGGCTGGAAGGCTACGGTGATTGGGAGGCAGAGAGATGTAAATACAGAGAGAAACGGCTCCTTGAGATGCAAAATACACTACGAGGGAAGAGCAAAACGCACGAGGGGGACGGACAGGCATGGAGGAGGGAGGCAGGGCATGTAGGTGGGTTGGCATGAGGGTTAACCGACCTGAAGCTGGTTGTGGCTTGACAGATGCAGCAGGATCAGACGAGGAGAGAGGAGGTAGAGCAAGCAGAGGTGCATGTGCCGCCACGTAGCCAGTCAGATCGGAAGAGATTGATTCAAAGCTTGGTGGCCTGATGGGATGAGAGGAGAAATAGAGCCATTGCAGTGGGTATTGCAGCGGGTATTAGGCATGCGGATGAATGAACCTGTTTGGTAAACGCATTCCCAAAATACACGCCAACATCAACAAGATAGGCTTTTGAGGCGCCTCAAAAGTCATTTTGAGGCGCCTCTTTGAGGTGTATTTTGAGGCGCCTCTTTGAGGTGTATTTTGAGGCGCCTCTTTGAGGTGTATTTTGAGGCGCCTCTTTGAGGTGTATTTTGAGGCGCCTCTTTGAGGTGTATTTTGAGGCGCCTCTTTGAGGTGTATTTTGAGGCGCCTCTTTGAGGTGTATTTTGAGGCGCCTCTTTGAGGTGTATTTTGAGGCGCCTCTTTGAGGTGTATTTTGAGGCGCCTCTTTGAGGTGTATTTTGAGGCGCCTCTTTGAGGTGTATTTTGAGGCGCCTCTTTGAGGTGTATTTTGAGGCGCCTCTTTGAGGTGTATTTTGAGGCGCCTCTTTGAGGTGTATTTTGAGGCGCCTCTTTGAGGTGTATTTTGAGGCGCCTCTTTGAGGTGTATTTTGAGGCGCCTCTTTGAGGTGTATTTTGAGGCGCCTCTTTGAGGTGTATTTTGAGGCGCCTCTTTGAGGTGTATTTTGAGGCGCCTCTTTGAGGTGTATTTTGAGGCGCCTCTTTGAGGTGTATTTTGAGGCGCCTCTTTGAGGTGTATTTTGAGGCGCCTCTTTGAGGTGTATTTTGAGGCGCCTCTTTGAGGTGTATTTTGAGGCGCCTCTTTGAGGTGTATTTTGAGGCGCCTCTTTGAGGTGTATTTTGAGGCGCCTCTTTGAGGTGTATTTTGAGGCGCCTCTTTGAGGTGTATTTTGAGGCGCCTCTTTGAGGTGTATTTTGAGGCGCCTCTTTGAGGTGTATTTTGAGGCGCCTCTTTGAGGTGTATTTTGAGGCGCCTCTTTGAGGTGTATTTTGAGGCGCCTCTTTGAGGTGTATTTTGAGGCGCCTCTTTGAGGTGTATTTTGAGGCGCCTCTTTGAGGTGTATTTTGAGGCGCCTCAAAAGTCATTCCCAAAATACACTCCCACATCAACAAGATAGGCAAGGATAGGTCGACCCAGAACAGCAGCCATGGTGTCTACACATCAATTCCAAACAAGGCACGCAGAAAAGGAGGGTTGGTGTGTGGCGCTACAAGAAAACCACACGAAGCTACAAAGAGACCGCTGAAACAGCACCCACCGTGTGACCTCAGCAGCCTTCTTCCTCTGGAAACGCCTCCTCCTGACACGCTGTACTCTCCCCTTCACCGCACTAGCAGCTGCCATTACAGCCGCCCCTTGCAATGCACCACCTCCTACTCCCGCCCCTGCCTCTCCTACCCCACCTGCGCCCCCCACACTCCCTGCTGCGGCTGCGGCAGTGGCTGCAGCGTCGTTGCCTTGGTCTGTGTGCACGGCTGTGAGTTCTGGCATCCCGATGCGAGCAGAGGCTGCTGCCAGTGTGTGCACCACAGGGCGCTTGAGGAAATGCTGCGGGTATTGGGTTGGGGGAAGATGAGAAGTGGAAGAGAAATAAGTGAAATGAAATGAGAAGTGGAGGAAAGTGAACGAAGAGAAGAGAAGAAAGATCATCTACACTACATTACACCACTGCCCCCTTCCCTCTCTCCCCTCCCCCTCTCCTCCCCTCCACTCACATCCCACTTCCTTGACAGCTTCATGAGCTTGCGGGGGGCCTTCTCGACACCACGGAGAGAACATGGTATGATTGGCCGTCCCACACACTCACCTTCCCCTTTCCCCTCCCCTATCCCTCTTCTTCCGCCACTCACATCCCACTTCCTTGACAGCTTCACGAGCTTGCGGTGGGCCTTCTCGGAGGCCATGGAGAGCGCATGGTATGACCGGTCGTCCCACCGAGTCAGCACCACCAGCTGCTGCAGCTCCACCTCCAACGGCCGCCGGGCTGCTCGCATTGCTGCTGTCACTCTGAAAAAGTAAAGGTGGGGTGGAGGAGGGGGAAGAGGGGGGGGCGGAATGCAGGTGCGAAAAAGGCGGAGGTGATTTCACAGTTGACTCAGAAATCGCCGTCAGCACCACCAGCTGCTGCAGCTCCCCCTCCAACGGGCGGCAGGCCGCACCGCTCGCATGGCTGATGTCACTTTGGGGAACCAAGGAGATGACGGGAAGAGGATGGGGTGGGCGTGGGACGGACGGAAGGAGGGATAGTTGGGAAAAGGAAGGGGAGGAGAGGAAAGGAGGAGGCGGAGGAGGATCGCGGCAACCAGTGAATGTAAGTTGAAGTTTGACGGCAAGAAGGGTGCCACAGCAACAGGAAAGAGTGAGTGGGGTGGGGGATGGAAGGGCATGGGAACAAGTGACTGTGAACGAGACACACAATCATTGGCCGGAAGAGCATGCGGCCCACATTTATTGGATGAGCAGAACAGAACAAGGTTGGTTCGAATCAAAGGCCTTACGGTGCGAGGTATTGTGCGAAGTAGCTGTGGATGTTGTAAAGAACTGCTATGAGCTGCTGCTTCTCCTTCGCCCTCGCCTCTTCTGCACGCTCTGCTGCTGGTACCGTGGGCCCCTTGTTGCCATTCCCAGCACCAGCCGAAGGGACAGAAGAAGCAGTGGCAGAAGCAGGAGCAGCAGTAGGGGAAGGCGAGGAGGAAGAAGAGGTGGTGGTGGAAGAGGAGGAGGAGGAGGCGGAGAGGGTGGCGAGGAGGTGGGAGCGGAAGGCCCGCAGCATCTGCAGGCGGCGGGGGAACTCGCCGACAGGGGACGAGCGGATGAAATCCTCTAGACTGCATGGGGGAATGAGGAATGGGGAATGGGGGAGCAGTGGGTGGGACGGATGGGTGTTGGTTGGGAGGTGATGGTAGATAGGATAGGAGGAAAAGTGATGGTGGCAAGGGGTTTAGTTGAGACCAGGGAAGCGAGAGGGAAGCGAGAGGGAAGCGAGAGGGAAGCAAGAGGGAAGCGAAAGGAAGGCGCAAGCGATGCGAGAAGCGAAGAAAGAAGAAACAACAAAAGACACTTTGCTGGACAACTGGAAAGGCTGACTCACCTTCGCGCCACCTCAGCAACACGATCTGTCTTCTCCCCGTCCTTGCCACTGCTCGTGTCTGCACCAGCCGTGCCTGCAACCTTCACAGCTCCACTCTTGCTGTCAACTGCATCTGTACTGTCAGGCCCGGGCTTGCCTGTATCATCAGCTGTTTCTTGTGGTTCAGGTTGCGAGAAGGGCTGGATGAGGAGATCGTACAGGACGAACCAGAGCTGCACGTGGTGGGATGGAGAGAGGGGAAGGAGAAGGGGCTTTTGAGGCGCCTCTAAGGGCTGGATGAGAAGATCGTACAGGACGAACCAGAGCTGCACGTGGTGGGATGGAGAGGGGAAGAGTACAGGGGAAGAGGATAGTGTTAGCAGTGGGGCTTGAGTGGACTCCCATGTGCCAAGATAGGAATCTCTGCACAATGACCTTCACCGGAGTGCCAAGTGTGGTGGTCAGCAGCAGTGGGTACCCAATGCAATGCGCATGCAGTGAAGGCAATCTCGAGAGCGCATGAGGCACTGTAATTGGGGGAATCAGAGAAGGGCCTACGCAAGAAGGAAAGTCTATTGGAGCACAGATGAAAGGAGACTGTGTAACAGCAGTGCATCACTACATCACTACATCACTACTGACGGCAACTGCCCTTGTCATTCGCAGCATTCTGCTTGTGGGACCTGGTCTCTACCTTTCCTACCCCTCCACCACATCTCCCCAACCCACCCACCAAACCCAATGACACCCTCCTTCCCCGTCCCCCCTTCCCCACACCCCCGCCGTCCCCTGTAACCCACCCACCTTGTCAGCAGCAGCGGTGTGCTTGCGGGAGCGGGCGTCTAGCAGGGCAGGCCAGGACGCCAGTTCCTTCATGCGCCACCGCTTCACCACTCGCGATATGCCCCCCAGCTCCGCTGTTCGTTGGCCAGGGAGAGGGAAAGAAAGCGGAAGAAAGAGTGGGAAAGAGAGGGAAAGAGAGGGGCGGAGAGGGAAAGGAAGAGGAGGAAAGGGAGGGAAAGAAAGAGGAAAGAGGAGGAAAGAGGAGGAAAGAGAGCGAGGGCCAAAGGGTACCGTACCCAAGGGTGGAAGTGAGTAGAGATAAGAAAGGCTCGAAATGTAGGGAGCTGTCAACGCAGCGGGAAGTTGTTGAAAAAGGAGAGAAGAGGAAGGGTGGGGGATGTTGGGGGCAAGGTAGGGTGATTATTAGGCGGGAAGGAGGGGAGGGTGTAACAGGCTTACGTGCAATGGAGACCCGGGCTGCTGCATGCTCCTGCCATATCTGTGCCTTGGTTAGAAGCAGCTCCATCCCAACCAAAGCCTGTAGAACCAATCCAACAGTACGCACAAACAGCTTAGCTTAGGCCCATACCATACTACACAATATTCCAATGCTTATAGTAGTAGTACTTCCCAACCAGGTTCAACACTGAGCGGAGGCAAAGCGACGGAAACTCAGCCTCAATGCAGTGCAAAATGGAAACAACAATCTCGTTACGTCTGAAAATGATAGGAACAGCATCTGCGCTGCGCCACAGAAGCGGTACTGAAACAGGAAGGGACGGCTGATTTGAATGGAGAGGCACGGACCTTGAGAGGAGGCGTGGTGTGTGGGAGGGCGAGCAGGCGCGCGGCGATCTGCACGAGTGTGGTGAGGAGGGGGTTGTCTGGCCACTCTTCCAGCAGCTGCTGCAGGCGCTGTAAGAGCGCTTGCAGCGGTGGGAGCATGAGCGCCAGCTCTGATGGTGATGCCACCTGGGGGTGGACGGAACGGGAGTGGGTGCGGTGTGGCGTGTGACTCTAGAGAATTCTCAAAGGCGCTGTAAGAGCGCTTGCAGCAGTGGGAGCATGAGCGCCAGCTCTGATGGCGATGCCACCTGGGGGTGACGGAACGGGAGTGGGTGGGGTGTGTGGGGGGGGGTCAGGGGAGGGGGGTTGTTGCGGGGATGATAAGGCATGGCAGCGGGGGGGTACAGGTGTGCAGTTCTTAAGAACTTCAAAAAGAATGAGTGAATGAGGTGTGGTGTGGTGTGTAGAGGTTGGTTGATGGGCAGGGGAATAGGAAAGAGCAAGCGATGAGAGCAGGAGTGGAAGACAGACACAGCTCGAAAGAGTGCGTTGCATAGGTAAAAGAGCCAAGAAGACAGACCTTTCTCAGGTCGACTGGAATGGCCCGTTGCTCCACTGCCCCGGGTGCAGGTGTGACAGAAGCAGGTGTGCTTGTAGTGGTGGTGGGAGCTGTGGAGAGCTCGTTAGCAGCGGAGCAGAGGCGGAAGAAGTGAGCCTCGGATGTTGCCTCGTCCACTGAGCAGGGGAGAATCCCGTCTGTGACTGAAGAGACAAAGAAGGCGGACAGGGGTGAGAGGTTGTTTTGAGACGTCTCATAACAGACTTGCTTGCTTTCAAATGTGCCTTGGATGCTGCCTCGTCCACCGAGCATGGGAGAATGCCGTCTGTGACTGATGGGGAAAAAAAGGGCGGAGAGGACGGAGTAGGAGGAGGAGGGTTAGAGAAAAAGGAAGGCTGAGGAGCAGGTGGGTAAGCTGTATAGTTTTGAGATAAGATGAGAGAAGACATGTGAAAGCAACAAGTACGAATGCCCAATAGTGCAAGAAAACAGCATTGCCGGCAGCACTAATGAGTGAGGTCAATAGAGTGAATGAATGTAGCAGAGTTAGACCAAGAGGAGGGGATACCTCTGAGAAAAACAGTATTGCCGGCAGCACTAATGAGTGAGTCAATAGAGCAAATGAGGATGAGGATGAAGGAGTTAGTAGGAGGGCGTACCTCTGAGGATGTGAGTTGCAGTGTCATATGCAGCCGTGAAGCCAGCGCAAGGAAGGGCAGGAGGAGTGGCACATGTGTGCGGAGTGAGGTCCTGAAGGTGATAGAGGGGAGTCAGATTTTGAATCTTGTGCACGAGAGGTAGAAGGAATATGAAGGAATATGGCATGGAAAAACGAGCCAGAGTACAGAGGGACGCAGTTCAGTGCAGTTTATGAAGTTGTTCAAGGCGAAGCAAGAAAACACCACAGACATCCTACGATGATAAACCGAACAACCAAGAGGCCAACCACGTCGAAAAGTGAATAGATACCCTTTTTCGGTGACAAAGAGGCAGCAGTGTAGATCCAATAGCTCTGACTCAATTGATAAGTTCCCAGAGACTTACCTCTGTGGGGGAAAAGAGGCGGCAGTGTAGACTCACCAGCTCTGATTGTATTACCCTCTGAGAGATTTTTCCAGCAACTTACTTCTGTGGGGGAAAAGAGCCGGCAGTGCAGGTCCACCAGCTCTGATGTGAGCCCACCCTCCTCTTTGAGCGCCCTCCATACGATTGCCATGGCCTTCCCGCCCCTGCCCTCCTCCTCCTCCTCGTCTTCCTTCTCCTGCCGCTCCTGCTCCTCCTCCTGCTTCTTGGCCCGCGCTGCACGAGCCTGGTGAGGGTGAGGGGAAGAATGGTTGGGAAGGGGGGAACGGGATGAGGCAGGCAAGCATGGAGAGAGCGAGGGAGGGGTGAGGGCGGGCAGGCTAGGTGATGCACGGATTGAATCCGTAGTATGCGCCGTCATATTGCACAGATTGAATCCGTAGTATGTGCCGTCATATTGCACAGATTGAATCCGTAGTATGCGCCGTCATATTGCACAGATTGAATCCGTAGTATGCGCCGTCATATTGCACAGATTGAATCCGTAGTATGCGCCGTCATATTGCACAGATTGAATCCGTAGTATGCGCCGTCATATTGCACAGATTGAATCCGTAGTATGCGCCGTCATATTGCACAGATTGAATCCGTAGTATGCGCCGTCATATTGCACAGATTGAATCCGTAGTATGCGTCGTCATATTGCACAGATTGAATCCGTAGTATGCGCCGTCATATTGCACAGATTGAATCCGTAGTATGCGCCGTCATATTGCACAGATTGAATCCGTAGTATGCGCCGTCATATTGCACAGATTGAATCCGTAGTATGCGCCGTCATATTGCACAGATTGAATCCGTAGTATGCGCCGTCATATTGCACAGATTGAATCCGTAGTATGCGCCGTCATATTGCACAGATTGAATCCGTAGTATGCGCCGTCATATTGCACAGATTGAATCCGTAGTGTGCGCCGTCATATTGCACAGATTGAATCCGTAGTATGCGCCGTCATATTGCACAGATGCGCTCGCACTTGCACAAGCAAGCACGCGTCGAGCTCTCAGCGCCAGGCCATTCCCAATTGCGTCCAAACCAAGGCAGTAAGAGAGTACGCACCAAAACAAGGAAGAAAGGAAGGCAGGGAAGCACTCACATCGTCCTCGTCAGCATGCACGTGGTTTTTGACGTCCACGTCAGCAAAGTGTGTGTGTGAATACGGCACAATCGGACAGAGATTTGAAGCGCCAAGAAAACGACACTCACATCGTCCTCGTCAGCATGCACGTGGTCCTTGACGTCCAAATCAGCAAAGTGGTCAGAGAGCGTGGGGAACATGGCTCGGTACTCCTCCTCCTCCGCCTCTGCATCGTCTTCCTCCAGCTCCAGAGTGGTCGTGGTGCTGCTGCTGCGCTGCTTGTACAGCAGCTCCGCCTCTGCCTGCTTCTCCCGCTCCTTGTCCCGCATTTCAGACCAGATGTCCACGAATGCTGCGAAGGATTGCTCCAGGACCTGTGGAGAATGAGGTGAGGGATGAGAGGTCAAGGGGCCGACACGGGAGAGGTGGTAGTGGAGATGAGAACTCGCGGAATAGATCCAGGTTTACGAGATTGGCATGGCAAAAGACATCGGGTGCCATGTCAGCAGAGCATACCGTGCGGTGCAGAGCCACATCATCATCACCATCACCACCACCACGATCATCACCACCACCACGATCATCACCACCATCAACATCATCAGCAGCAGCGGGATCGTACCTGCAGAGCCTCAGGGCCTGTTGCAGGGGAGTAGAGTGCGGCTGGAGTGACATCATCCTTCACTGCAAAGAGTGCAGCACGCAGCAACGACACCACCGCCACTGATGCTGTCACCTGCACAGACAAGTCAAATGGATGAAACGTGTTTGCCACAGAAAGAAGCAGCGTTGTACAGAGTGATGTCTGAATGAAAGCAATTCAATCAACGCGTGCGGTGCAATACGACAGAGGTACAAAGCCAACAAAAGAGGGAGCTGACAGGACCACAAGCCCGAATTCGCAGCAGATTTTAAAGCGCCTCAAAAATTGGCGGCAACCCTACAAGTTGGCTGAAAAGCGTGGTAGCTCAGCTCCGCATGCAGAGGTAAATAGGGTATTTGTCTGTGTTGCCTACCTCCTTCTCCTGGTTGCCGCTGCCTCCGCTGAACCTGCTGGCACGGGCATGCAGAGCTGCAAACATGTCCTTGTGCAGAAACAGAGCCGCACGGGAGGAGGGAGCAACAGATGCTGCTGCTGCTGCTGCTGCTGCTGGCTGGTCTGTTTGACTGCTGCTGATGATGCTGGTGGCATTGATGGCTGGGGTCGGTGTGGGTGGTTGAGTTTGAGTGGGGATGGAAATGGCTCGAGGGAAGGAGAGGAGAGACTTGGTGACTGCCTGTGACGGAAGGGACGCGAATGAGAGGTTGGAGACGACGGGGAGGAGGGGGAGATGGAGGTTGGTGAAGAGAGAGAATTGGAGAGGGGGAGGAGGGTTAGTGGTAATGCGAGGAGAAGCCAATGCTGCTGCCGAAAGAAATCCAGATCAATCCTAGACGTGAGGGATAACAAGGGGCGGAAAGAGGAACGGCGGCAAAGGAAGGAGCAAGGGCGGGCAGACGCACGCACGCAAGGCGAACGAGGCAAAAGATATGTGATTCCTTCTCCCCTTCTGCTATTACTTTTCCGTTCCTCTTCTATTTTTTTCTTATCTCCTATATCAAAGCATGTATGTACCGCGAGAGCGCCGTCGGTGGTTTGAAGAGCGGAGGAGAGCGCAGCGCAGAGCAGCAGCGATGCGCCGTGCACCATCTCATACGCCGCCAGCTGGCACGGCTGCACCACATCCCTCAGCAGCGGGAAGCTGCGCGGAAGGCGCTGTGCGAACGCTGCTACCGAGGACTGCGGGGAGGGAGAGGCGGTGGAGGAGAGATAGGGCAATGGGAAAAGAGGGGGAGGCGAGAAAGGGGATGGTGGGGACGAGGGGAGACCAGCACATCTTATGCGACCTCAGCGCTAAAATACACATATATGTTCATGCATTCAAGGTGTGTTCTTGCACATAAACACACACACCCATGACCCAACCCAATCCCACCATCACCTGTAACCCACCCCAACCCCTCGCCATTCGCCCATCCAATCACGCACCTTCCAAGCGGACACATGAGACAGCAGATTCGCTAGCTCCAGATCCGAAACGCGCACAGGCGTGTTCACTTGCCCGCCCGAACCAGCAGCCACCACCGCCATGCACTGCCGAACGATGCCGCCCACGCGCTCCACGCCTGCCGTCCACGTGAGGAAGCGCGAAACCTCCTGGAAGAAGGCCGGGTAGGGCGAGGGCTCTGGGCGAGCCACGGACTGGAGGAGGGGGCGGGGAGGGTGTGAGGAGGGGGAAGGGTTTGGAAGGGGAAGAGTGGGTTGGGTAGGGTGGGGGAGGGGTGGGATGAGGGAAGCAAAGTAGGTGGATGAGTGAAGCTGAGTAAGGCAAAAAGTTGTCACACCGCCAACGGTTGCCCCTTTGGAAGGAAAGAAAGAAAATGGTGTCACGGTCAAGCCCTAAAAGCCCCTATGTCATGTAACATATGACCAGGAACCACGCAGTTGAGAAGCAGTTGAGAAGCAGTTGAGAAGCAGTTGAGAAGCAGTTGAGAAGAAGTTGAGAAGCAGTTGAGAAGCAGTTGAGAAGCAGTTGAGAAGCAGTTGCAGAGAGAAAAACAGGGACATGCGTGGAAATAATTGGCAGAATGGTGACAACACTTGACTAGACACAGCAGCACACGTACAGTCGACCGATCACAACACACACCTTGGCTCGTGCCGCCCACAGCTTCCTGGAAACCTCCTCCAGTTGCTGGGCGATGGCCTGTGCGGCCCGTTGGTGGTGTGTGATGCCGTCCGTGCCCACTGCTGCCAACCACTCATGCAGCTGTGGCGAGTGAGAGAGGTAGGTGAGAAGTGAGAGGTGGGAGGGAGGGAGGGGCGCAGGGTGATATGCAGGGTAGGTGGAGTGGAGGGTGGGTAAGTGCAGCACAGAAAGGGTGGGGGGTGAGTGGAATGGAGGATGGGTGCGAGGGAATGAACGGACGACCAAATGAAAGGCGTTTTGAACCAGGACACCAAACGTTGAGGCATTTCAGGACCAAGCAGACGATCACAAGACAAGTGGTGGTGTGCACCTGAGCCAGAAAAGCAAGGGAGGACAAGAACCGAAGCAGTAGGAGCCAAGATATTGATATTCACTGACCGTGAATTAAAAAACTGGTTCTGAGGCAAGAGAGAGGTAAACGCAATATGCTGCTTCTGAGGCGCCTAAAAAACTGGAGCAGCAGTGTGTCTCTCCACTGACCTTCAGTTGAAGTGTGAGGTCTGTGTGCTGCTGCTCCAAGTGCGAGAGTGCGTGGCGGTACTTGGACGTGGGGTCCACTCCCCCTGGGGGAAGAAGCAGGTGCAGCCGCAGACAGCCCACTCGTAGCCAGGCACTGCCTAGATGAGCTAGGGCCTCTGGAGGAAGAGAGACGAAGGTGGGGGGGATTACATGTGTGGTAAAATGAGATTGCATGGGGCTCGAGACGGGGGGATGAAATGCGGCGGAATGATAATGTTGGAGCAGAAACCAGCGGGAAAACTGCTCCGCAATAGAGGAACGGGAAGTTACCAGAAAGTGTGACAGACATAGATTGCTCCATACAGGACGCCCTTAAGGGACTCACCACAAGCAGGCCTCATCACAAGCAGCTAAGAGTCACTTACCTGAGGAATCAGGCTGAAGCAGCTCCTGCGTGCGGGGCATCTCCCTGGCGCGCAGAGCATCGGTGAGGGAGGAGAGCGCGGGGAGCAGCAGGTGGGCGGAGAAGAGAGCGAGAGGGTGCGGGCAGGTGGAGGCGAGGAGGCGATAAAGAGGCTCCATGTCATGAGCCGTGAGCTGGAGAGAAGGGGTGCGGTGCGGTGGGAAGAGAAGGGGAGCCGTGGGGAGAGAAGAGGACGGTTGTCAAGGAGTGGAGAGGAGGGGAGGGGCAGGGGAAGGGGATAGGAAAGGGGAGAGGAGGGAAATACGAGAGAAGGTTAGGGAGTAAACGAGAGGAAGATGCCAAGGGAAGAGGGGAGCGCATTGGATTGTGATGCGAGCAGGCGAAAAGGGCTCTTGTTTGTTGCGGAATAATAGCCAAGGGATGGGTCACGGGAGGGGACTGGAATAGTGAGAAAGACCACGGGTGCTGCAGAAACGGGGGCGCCGGCGCGGCAGTTACAAACAGAAAAAGGGCTGCAAATGCATGAGGGCAGAGTGACAGAGTCCACTTCTGAGGAAGGCTAAGGCCAGTCAGCCAAGACAGGGTTGACAGTCTCTACACGCGAACCTTGTGGCCCTTGAATGTGATGGAGGAGAGCTCTTGAGCGAGCAATGGGCGGAGGGACTCTGGGAAGCAGGCAGTGTGAGCAGCTATGATCTGGAGTAGGAGAGTGAGGCGAGAGGGAGGGTGGGCGAGAGGGAGGGTGGGCGGGAGATTTGAGACAACCGAGACGGAAGGAGACGGGATGTTGATGAAATGAAGGGGGAAATCACAAGGAGTAGAGTAGAGTAGGTTAGGGAATGCACGTGTAGAAAGTAGATTTTTGAGACGTCTCAAAAATCTACTTTCTACGAATGGGAAAGATGCTGAAAGAAAAGAACGGAGCAAGACTAAGCTCTAGTAGGTTGGCTTGTGGCACGGCAGAGCAGTAGTCGCTACAGCACCTGAGAAAGAGCAGCCACAGCAAGGGAGACGTGCTGGTCCAGGCGAGGGGTTGTAGGAGCACTGCAGAGCGCCCCCACCCCAGCCGCTGCTAGCAGCAGCTGCCCCCGCTGCACCTGACTCTCCGCCACTGTCGCCCCTCCTCCCCCCCATGGCCCCCCTGCTGCTCCCCCCATGTCCGCTCTGAGGGGAGGGGGAAGGAGGAAGGGCGGAGGAGTGGGGAAGGGGATTAGGTAAGTGGACGGTGGAGAGGGGGAGGACAAGGGAAGGAGGGAGAGGAGAGGAGAGGAGGAGAATGTGAGCAGGGCAACAAAGAGTCAGTGGGAAGTGAAGAAGAGGAGTGGGTGTGGGAAAGTGAGTGAGTGTGAGAGAGAGGGCGGGATGTTGGGAGAACGAGGAGTGGGCAAGGTCATGGAAAGGGAGGAGCGAGTGAAAGGGCGAATAGCCAGTTTTGATTAGGCGAGCTGCAGTCTAGTAAAAATCTTTAGCAAGTGATAGACAGTAGTAAAAGTTTGACCCTGTAAACAACCAGGAATCTGAAAAAACCGAACTCTTATTCCACTAGTAGTAAAAGTTATGGACAGCTCGCCTAAACAAAGCTTCTATGGACATGGAAAGGGAGGAGCGTGTGAAAGGGCGAATAGCCAAAACGGCATGGGCACGGGAATGCATGGAGAGCGCCCATCGACATGGGTGGGTGGGTGTGCCTCACCAACCCATCTACCTATCAGGGTTGAGCATTCAAAAGAAAGCGTCACGAGGCTCACATGAGAGAGGCAGAGAGCAGGGAGAGCGAGGCCTGGAAGAAGCGAGCAGAGCCTGATGTGGCTGTCCATGCGAGGGGCTGGAGGGGCAGAGGGGACAACAGGGGCCAGACCAGACCATGAGATGATGCAGGAGAGACGGATAGCAGCCTGTTATTGCTTTGCAGAAATAGCAGGCTGCTTGACAAACACAGCAGGGCTCTCTCCCCCACAAACTGCCATTTCCCAATGCCTATCCTGTTCCTCTGCTGCTCAAGTTTGTTCCCGTTGCTAGCTATCTGCTACCTCTAATAAGGTTGTACTCCAAACGAGGCACACCTTGAGAGAGTCCATCCAATCCGATCCAACCAAGTACCAATCCATCCATCCATGATACATTCCATTCACCCGTGCCATCTCTCATCCCAAACACTCCTGCCATCATTACCTCTGCTGCAGCTGGTCCGACGTCAGCACCCATGCTTGCCCGCTTCCCCAGTGGCAGCAGCGGCAGGCGCCAGGTGGCGGACTCCCATTGGCTCTCAAGCAGGCGCAGTTGCAAGTCGTGTAGCAGACAGCGCAGCGCGAGAGCAAGCTCGTCTGCACAGGGGGAAGGGAGTGGAGAGGACGAGAGGAGGACGAGGGGCGGGAGAGCGGAGGAGAGAAAGGAGGGAAGGAGGGGAGGAAGGGGAGTCGGGGTGAGGTGGACTGTAAGAGTACTCTTACATACTTGACGCATGTAACCATTTTTGCACTACCTTACAGGAACAGCAAAGATAGCGCCGAGCTTGTCCAAGAGGGAAACAGGTTTGCAAGGATGTTTACATACGTAAGGGTAGAGGTGATAAAACAAGGCTTGACAACCGGCAAGAAACAAGTACGTACGACAAGCAACCAATATGGCAGCAACGGAACCACAGCATAGGGCGACAGAGCAAGAGGTGGAAACGACTGAGGAAACGAGGACAGGGGGAGCTATGCTGGTATGGACTGAACTGAACAAGCAGGAAGGTACCTGGAAGGAAGGTGGACAGCGGGACTCTTTGGATCCACAGCAGCTGCTGGAATGGAAGCAGCTGGGTAGGAGCGCGGGAGGACTCTAGCAGGAGCCTTCGGAAGAGAGAGGCGATTGTCGCAGGGGAGGAGGCCTGATGGTTGGTGAAAGAGGCGCAATGGGTGGGGACAGTGGATAAGAATGGAGAAAAAAGGGACAGAGGGGGGATGGAAGAGTCACGGGAGGAAAGGTGAAGTGGGAAAGGAAAAAGGAGTGCAAGTGAACAAGTGGAACCAGCATCATGCGAGATCCAGATATAGCTCAGTGAGCTGCGTGCGTGCAGTAGGCTTAAAGCAAAGGAAAAAACAGCAGTAGATTTCCGCTCATGTGTGCAGAGCAGAGACATACGTTGAATGAGTCATGCCATGGCAGCAAACAAGCGCACGCTCGCATGCACACACGACGCACACAGTCACCACTCACAGAACCATCCAGATATCAAACCCACCTTGCTCAGGGCCACCAATGACAGCTTGCCATCTGTCCCCGGGAGGAGCAGTGGCACGAGGCTTGCCACAAGCGAAGAGGCGAGGAGGTGGGAGGAGGTGGAGAGGAGAGGCAGAACCGCCAGCCACAGCTGCCGCACCCCAGGCCACCTCATGAGAGAGCTTGAGAAGAGACGGGCTGGGGGAGGCGGGGAGAAAGCTGCTGGCTCGTCGACTGATAGCTCAGAAAGGGAAGCAGCCGCTGTTGCGGCTGTGGCAGAGGTGGTGGTGGTGGTGCGAGGGAGGGTGGGAATGAGGTCACAGGGGCCCAGGGGTTGACAGGCAATGGCCCTGGCTTGCTGTGCTTCGCCTTGCAGTGCCTGATGTGAGAGACGATGGGAGCAGGGGAAGTTGGATTGATATAGGCAAGGAAAAATGGTTCTTCAAAGGATTCTTTAGGCTTCATGGTTGGTGAACACAACGACTGCAGTTATTCTCCCTCAAAGGAGGTCAAGCGGAAGTGAAAGAAGCAATTAGAGAATGTTAACATGTTAATATTTGCAAGCGAATTCATCAAAGAGGATGGAGCCTGGAAGCTGGCTGTATAGAGACGGACCATCATGAGATCTGCCGCAGTTGTATCTGCATCATCTGGACTGCCACTGCTGCTGCGTGTGCCTCTGCCAGCAGCATGTGTTGCCATGCCTCGCTGTCGCATTGTGATTTGTCGCAGCAGCCCTAGCGCCTCCACCGCTCTGCGCCGCAAGGACGGGTCCACAGCCATGGGCCATGTGGCAGACTCCCATTGGTCTGTAGAGGGGCAGATTTGATGAGTACGAGTTAATGTCACCACCACCCATATGACGAGTACAGCAATGCTGCATGGACACAATGCATTGGCAATATCTTAATCAAAAGAAACAATCGCCTCATTCACAGACACACACCATCGGCCTTGAAGCTCTCCACCTCCCCGTGCCCTGTTCCTGCGGTAGGCGCAGGAGCAAGCACCCACGAATCCACCACAGAGGCAAGCGCCGCATCCTTCTGCAGCACTGCCAGGGAGGCAGGCAGCAGCGGGTGCCCTGCCTCCTTCCATAGGGACCTCTTCCCCACCCTGTCCTGCTCTGCACTGCCTGCTGCTGACACAACTTGTTCAGCTAGTAGAGACGCAAGGAGAGAGGGGTGAGAGTGAGCACGAGCAGCGGTGGTTGCGGCTGCAGTAGCAGCAAGGATTGCGTGTTGTGGCGCGATGGGGGAGGCAAAGGCATTGTTGAGGGATGCCATAGAGGTGCATAGCTGCTGCCAGGCCTGCCAGTGGTTAACACATTGAGGGGGAGAGAGCGAAAGCGAGGAGAGAGATTAGGGGGTTGAGAGAAATAGGGCAGGGCGAGAGGAGGTTGGGAGATACGTTAGCAGAATTAGAAAAGCAAACAGGCGTTAATAAGAGGAAACACAGCAGCGGTGGCATGAGAGATACAACAAAAAGGTTTTGTGGTGGGGAGTAGGGATGAGGGATGATGACAAGCAAAATTGTCCACAAGGGGTTGAGAAGAATAAGAGAATCTTCAGAGAAGCGGAAGTAAGTGGGTGAAACAAATGAAGGAAAGGAAGGCACAAGCACGCCTTCAAGCATTGAGATCTCACCGTTTCAACAGCACGCACAGCTGCAAGCTCGTCATCTGACTTTCCTGATACTGCTTCTGCTGCTACTGCTGCCACTGCTGCTGCTCTAGCTGCAGCCTTGGCCATTCGAAGGGCAGCAGAGCACAGCTTGTGCCACACAAAGACGAGGCGGTCAAACGGAACAGCTGTCTGCAGCACCCGCACGCAATCCCACAGAGACTCATGCCACTCCATCACCACTCCAAACGCGGATAGAAACGCCTCCTCCTCCACTTCCACCCCCCTTGATTTCCCCCCAGAACCACTACCGGTACTACTACCAGTGCCAGCGCTCCCTCTTCCTGCTTCATCTGGGCCTTGTCGTTTTGCTGCTACCGCAGCCCACAGCGCATGAGCGAGTGGGGGAGGGCAATCCAGCAGCGCTGTTTCAACCTGGCGGAGAGCAGAGAGGAAAGGAGCCACCAGCAGCAGACCCCGCGACCTTCCATCCCCTCCTCCACTCGCACTGGTTGCTGCTGTTGCTGATGCTGCTAGAATTTGGTTCGCCCTCTGCTGCAGTTCAGGCACGCCCGAGAAGTGCAGGAGAGAGCAGCCAGACGCAGTGGACTGCGCGGAAGCTTCCTGGGCCAGCAGCGCCCTCTGGCTCAGTTCGTCCTCTAGCGACCACTGTAGCAGGCACCGACGGAGGGCTTTCACTCTGTTGGCTGCTGCAGATGCATTGCGCCACAGCACTGCAGGCGGCACTCCTATTTCACCATCCAACTGCATAGCTCCTTCTGAACTCACACCCTCGGTCACTCCACTCCCGAACCTCCCAGGCGTGCTGTGCAGAACCGTGCTGGAGGCATCAGCCACCAGAGCGGCCACTTGAGGGGAAACAGATACATCCAGAGGAAAAGAGGCAGCAAGAGGTGCAGGCACGGAGAGAGCAGCGAGCAGCTCTGAGCGTGTGGATGAGAGGTCGGAGAGACAGCGGTGCAGGGTTAGGGGAGACAGGGAGCCGATCAGTCGATTGAGCTCTGCACCGGCTGCTGTTGCAGCATTAGTGGTGCCAGTAGCATCAGGGCCAGAGGTGTGTGAGCGAGCGAGAGACAGGCGAAGAGTGAGGTCTTTGAGGGACATACTCCGATCGAGAAACAGCTCTAGCAGCAGGCGCAGCAGCACTGCTCCCCGTGCATGTGCACGTGCCGACACACCCGCTGCAGTCACCATAGCACTAGCTTCTTCTTCTTCCCGGTCCTTGCCTTGTTGAGATAGGACGTCTAGACAGGACTCGGGCAGCCATAGGCGCACCTGTGCCGGCAGCTGCAAGGCCCAGTCACGTGCCGCCACGTGGCGCGTGCCGATTGGAAGATCTTGCCGGGAGAGGATTCTGTCCCATTGGAAGAGCAGCTCTGAGGATGTGAGCTGGCCGAGAATGGCGACGAGAGGGGAGATGTCAGCATGCAGGCGAGATGGCATGGTGTGGAGGGTTGCTAGTGGTAGGGGTAGTGGTGCCATAGGCCAACCGCCAGGCAGGACGAGAGACGCAGAGTCAAAGGGGGGGACAGGAGCAGGGGAGAGTGAGGCAGTGGTTGTGGTAGCACCAGCAGCATCGCCAGCACCAGCAGCAGCAGCACCATCAATCGGAACAGGGCCAGGGGCATCACAAGCCCATCTCAGAGCGTCTCGGATGACCCGGCCGGCCTGCTCCCTCCGCTCCTCATCCTGCAATCGCCGCACAAACGTCTGGTCCCATGCTGTCACCAGAGCCAAAGCCACAGGCTTCCCCCGAGTCACTAACTCGATCAGCAGGCGCAGCAGGTGGTTCACTTCCCTTAGTGTGGGGCACGCCCCGTAGTTCTGAGATGCCTCTACTGCTGCTGCTACTGCTGCTGGCGACATGGCTGCCTCTGCTGCTATTGCTGTGGCTTCTGCTGCTGCTGATGCTGTAGTTTCTGACCCCTTTCTTCCCCCACCTACAATGCCTCCACCTGGAAGCTTCCACGTGGCAGCCAGTGATTGGATGCGCAGAAGCGCGAGGAGAATGCAGGCCACCAACCGAGGGCCAGCGATCCCCGATCTGATGATCAGATGGACGGTTGAGATGAGCTTCTCAGGCAGGCGCTGGTGACGACCAGCAATCCAAGCGGAAGGATCCAAAAGGGAGAGAATCTCAACCGCTGGATCATTCTCTTCTCCGCTCCCTGCTCCTTCCATGCCCCTATTCCCATCCTGCCAGCCAGTGCTCACACCCATCTTACCCCCGTGAACCTCCGAACCTGTCTGTCCTCCTGGCCCTCCTTCCCTCCCAGCAGAGTCACTCCCAAACCCTGAATCCACCACCACTCGATCCAACAAACCATGCCTCCCTGCACTAGCACCTGCCACAGCAGAAACCGCACCACCAGCAGCCCCCAACTCAGAAGAACCAGTGCGAACAGGAGCCGGAAGCAGAGGCGGCACGGCAGGGCTAGGCCAGTCCGGGGGCATGAGGAAGATCTCCACTCCACGATTGCGCATGGCGCGAGAGACCTCCCCGTAGTGCGGGTCGAGGCAGAGGAAGAGGCGGAAGTGGGGGTGCGGGCGCAGCAGCACGGGCTTGCCGTCCACGAGACCCCGCTCGTTCACCAGCAGGTGCCCGTGTGGCTCCACTAGGGGGTTCAGACGATCCAGTACCTGCGGTGGAGTGCGGTGGGGAGGGGTGGGTGAATGGGGTCGTTTACTTAGGCGACTCAAAACTCATTCACTACGGGGTTCGGGCGATCCAGTACCTGCGGCGGAGAGTGGGGTGGGTGGGGTGGGGTGCGGAGGAAGTGGCAGTTGGGGAGGGAAAGGCGTTGGGTTGATGCCGATTTTGATATTGGGTTCCGCAGACGGACTCACCGAGGGGTTGCAGAAGTTGGCGTTATCCAGCACTGCCCAGTCGCCCTGCACCACTGCCTCTACCAGTGGCCCCTCCACCCACTCAAAGTGCCCTGCTGCCCGCGCCATGCCCTCCTCCTCACACACCCCCCTCGCCTCTTGCACTGCGCCAGCTAGGCTGTCCGCTGCAGCAACCAGGCTGGATACAGGGCTGTTGGTACTATCTCCTCTCGCTCCACCTCCTTCTCCTTCTGCTTCTGCTACTGCTGCGGCGGTTGCTGTCTCCTCTTCTGCCTCCATCTCTTCCCCTTCCTCCACTGCCTCATCTCCATCTTCCCCACATGCTGCTCCCTCTAATCCCACCAGCATGCTCCTGGCCTTCCCAACTATCCTCAGCAGCCAATCAAACTGCGCCAGCTGTGCAGCAAGCGTGTCCTTAGCCTGCAGAGCCATCCCACTTGCGTCACAAGCAGCGGCATCAGCACTGCTCGCACCCCTCCTTCCTCCTTCCTCTCCTCCCTCGTCGGCTTTGTCTGTCTTACCCAGGTTCAGCCTGTCCCTCTCCTTCGCCTGCTGCCAGTACTGCCACCATTCACTGGTCAATTCCCCCACCTCACTCACCATCTCGCCACCACCACCACTACCACCACCACCACCACCACCAGCATCACCAGCACCACTACCTGCACCGCAAGCAAGCACAGCAGCAGCCACCTCCCTCACAAGACCCTCCACCCGCCTCTCCACCTCCCCCAGTTGCCGCCTGCCATCCCTCTGCTCAAAGCACCCCAGCAGGTCCGTCGTATCCGTGGCTGACGTCAGCGGCATCTCCCGCAGCCGCCTCCCTGCCAGCTGCGCCAGCTGGCGCACGAGAGAGGTTTTGCCTGAGGCTGCGGGCCCCACGAGAATCACCATCCAGTTGTGCGCTACAGCCGCTACAGCCGACTCGAGCGCAGAGGCAGAGGCGGGGAGGAGGTGGAGAGAGGAGGAGAGGAGCATGGCGGAGGAAGAAGAGGGTGTTGGGGCAGGTTGGGAAGGGGAAGAGGAGGACGAGGAGAGGGAGGGGGCGGCGCAAAGGGATGCTCTTGGGAGTGAAGCGCTGCCTATACGGAGGAGGTTGGGGGTGAGGGAGATAGAGGGGTGCGGGTCGAAGGGCAGGGGGTGGCCGAAGACAGAGAGGAACAGCTGGGCTACAAAGCGCCGCTCACTCGCTGATCTCAACCGCTGAATGTACAGCAGATTCACAAACCGCCCCGGATGCTGCACCTGCTGCTGCTGCTGCTGCTGCTGCTGCTGCAACTGCAGCTCCATTCTCTCCCCACCTTCCTCCCCATCCTTCTCTCCCTCCTGCTCCTCTTCCTCCCCTTCTTCCAGTCGCTGAACCGCATCCTCTGCACTAACCCCAGCAGCAGCAGCAGCAGCTCCCGGCGAGCATATGAGCTCGCACCAGCGCAGCACATCTCTTAGGTTGAACTCCCAGAGGGGTCCCCCGGCGCCGCTAGCAGCCATGCCAAAGGAGGAGGTGCGAGAGAGGGCGTGCGTGCGCAGCTGTGTGTTGAAATCCACCATCTTGTGGAGTAGCGGGAGGGGCACTGATGGGAAGAGTGCTGATGCGATGAATATGAAATCGTCTGACTCCAGGGCTTGCACGTACACCTGTGCAGGTGCGCACACACAGATACAGACACAGATACAGACACAGACACAGACACAGACACAGATACAGACACAGATACAGACACAGATACAGACACAGACACAGACACAGACACAGATACAGACACAGATACAGACACAGATACAGACACAGACACAGACACATACAGATACAGACACAGATACAGACACAGACACAGACACAGATACAGACACAGACACAGACACAGACACAGACACAGACACAGATACAGACACAGACACAGACACAGACACAGATACAGACACAGACACAGATACAGACGAAGACACAGACACAGATGCAAAGACACACAAGCATTAGATGAAATCGTCTGACTCCAGAGCTTGCTCGTACACCTGTAATGTGAAGGTTGCCCGCATGCAAGGAGAAGGGCCGCAAGTGCTTGCTTTGGCTGTTTTACACTTGAGAGGATCATAGGACAGAAAGACCTGCTTCTCGACCTATTCAAGCTAATCAGAGAAGCACAGCAGTTAGAGCAGGCAGCAGCAGCCGCGGCAGAGGCGGCAGCGGCGACGGAGGCGGCAGCAGCAGCACCACCACCACCCAGGCAACCCACCTTGGAGAAGCGATTGAGGAAAGACTTAGGGAGGCCCTTGCGGCCCCCACCCTGCTGCAGGGGATTCTGAGCCGCGAAGATGCGGAAGGAGGGTGGGCAGTGGAAGGTGCGGTTGAGGTCGGGCAGGAAGACGTCTGCTCGGTGGTCCAGGCAGCTGTTGAGGCCTTCCAAAATCGACTGTGACGCCAGGTTCAGCTCGTCTAGTAGCACCCAGTCACCAGCTTTCAGGGCCTGTAAGTGGGGAAAGGGAAGGGGGAGGGGGGGGGAGGGGGGGGGTTGCATATAGAGAGAGAGATGGGTTGTGATGGGAAGAGGGGAACAGCACTTCCAGTAGCACGAGCAACATCCAGTTGGCCGCTTCTAGAGCCTGCGAGGACGGCGGGCAGTGGAAGGTGCGATTGAGGTCGGGCAGAAACACGTCAGCTCAGTGGTCCAGGCAGCTGTTCAGACCCTCCCTAGGATGGACTGCGACGCCAGATTCAACTCGTCTAGTAGCACCCAGTCGCTCGCCTTCAGGGCCTGCAAAAAGTGGTAGAGATGGGTTGTGGTGGGTGAGGAGAGGGGAAGGAGGGGGAGGGGGGTTGACAGCTGTTGAGGCCCTCTAGGATGGACTGAGACACCAGATTCATCTCGTCTAGTAGCACCCAATCGCCTGCATTCAGGGCCTGCGGAAGAGGAGAGGGGATGAGCGTTGGAATAGCAGTTCACACATTATTGGAGTTCCTTTGAGACTTCTCAAAAGCAGCTCCATTTATAACAGCCCACACAATCAGTTACAGTACTGAGACACAAGCACAAAGAAGCTACTGGACGAGCACACTGCATGGATACACCTGTAAGCTGTAGCACAGTAACACTCCAACAGGCCGAGCACACAAAAGAGGCAACGGGCATACCTGCAGGAAAACCCCATCAGCCCACCGGAATTCGCCTCCCTTGCCGCCCTCCACTGGCAGGTCCGAGCCCAGTAGATCCATCATGTCCGTCTGTGCCGTTGTGGGGGGGGGGGGCGGGCCAAATGTGAGAGGAGAAATCTTGGGGTTCCAGAGAGGGATAGTGGGGTTTGAGGGAGGGATAGTGGGGTTTGAGGGAAAGATAGTGGGGTTTGAAAGTGGGATTAGTAAATTAAAGAGAGACAGAGGTGGTGATGACAGATTGTGGGCAGCAAGGGGAGGGAGGAGGCCGAGGAAGGAGAAGGAACGAAAGGCAGTTCCCTCACTCAAAGGCAGTTCCGCTTTTACCCTCTGCAACAAAGCACAAAACCTTCTGTCGCTTGTGCCAACTCTGTCTGACCTGCTCCGACAGGTTGATTCGCACGAGGCGGTGCCCTGCTGCTGCAGCCAAAGCTGCCACCAGACTGGTCTTTCCCACTCCTGGACTGCCCTCCAATAGTACTGCACGGAGGGAGGGGGGAGCGAGTGGAGAAGGAGCTAGCATCAAGCCAAGGGAGGCTGAGTGGGTCGTAGGGGACGTGCTGCTGTGCACAGGGCACTGAGCAACGGACATTCAGGCACAAATTTCTGTACATCCAATGGTACAGTACAAGTACAAGCATGGCAAAACAGTTACGACTGCAGATGTATGCTATTCATATATTGTGTTTCAAAAATCAAACCCCTAGAAGAAACAAAACAACACGCATGGTAACACCCCCTACCAACCCACCCTAACACACTGACTGACACCATCAAGTCTGCCTGCGTTGTCTTGAGGAGCATCAGCACATGTGTACGCTTCCGCACGGTTAACCTTCATGCATGCATGCAATGCCAATGCAGCGCACCTGGCTTGCGGATCTGCATGGCTCTGAGTAGGCGGACGACATTGGCATTGGTGGTGGGCGCTGTCAGTTCAAACGGCACTGATGTGTCCGTGGCACATGGGCCTGGGGGAGTGAGAAGAGATAAGGAGAGAAGGAGGGGAGGGGAGTGCAACTGAGGCGCCTCAAGCATGCTGTCAGCTCAAACGGCACTGATGTGTCCATGGCACACGGCCCTGGGGGGAATAGCAGGGGGGAGAGGAGTATGCAGGCAAGAGGAGGAACAGGAGAATAAAGGAGGGGAGCGAGTCAGAGAAGGGAAGGGCCACAATGGCTGAGGAACGCAGGCACATGGGAGAGTCGGGAGTTTTACGGGAAGGAGAGAACTAGAGGCGTGCCGCAGCAAAGACCAGGAAACGCTAAGGAAGCGTTGCACGCACACCGCACAAGCGAAGAGAGAAGCATTACATGCGCACTGCAAGCAAACCAGCAAAACGATGTGGAGAGAGTGGTAAGTATGATGTGGTCAGTGGTAGCACAACAATCACCGACTATTGGCTCTTTCAGTTGCCCAACGACCTATAGAAACATTACCTCGTGGGATGTAGAAGGGGTAGAAGCCAAAGACTCGCTGCGCGTCTGTCAGGCTCAGCTTCAAAGGAGTGTGAGAGGATAATGCAGAGGGGTCTGAAGCGGGTGCTTCTGTTATCAGCTTGCTCTGCACGCCCACTTGCATGCCGGCTGCCTTGGCCTCCTGCAACCAGTGGATGGAAGAGATAGGAGTTAAGGGTGAATACTCTGATTTGAATCCACTCTCTGGAGTGCAGTAGTGTCCCCCTGCCACTGCCCTTTTGCAAAAGGGGTGAGTGAATACTTGAAATTGGGTTCATAGAAGCCAAAAGCCCATGAATTACAATCACACGCTCGCTATTTATTTAACACATACAAAAGCGTTCTCATCCTTCCATGAAGAACAAACACACGCTCGCTCGCTGTTGTTACAGTACCGAATTCCTTGACTTGGCCTACCGGCGGCAGCAGGTGCAGCAGCAGGTTGAAGCTGCGAGCGCGGACAGTCTGAGCCACGTCCTCTGGCAGCCCTTGACCGATGCCCACGCCATCCAGAAACACCAAGAAGGCCCCGTGGAGAAACGCCGTCCACTTGTCTATGCGCACTCCTTCGCCTGCTGCAGGCCTTTTCTCCTCGCTGGCTGCGGGTTTCCCCTCGTCCGGTTCATCCTGCTGCTGCTGTGGATTGAGGTGAGCAGTGGCGTTGACAAACGCCGCCCAGGAGAGCAGGTCTCGCACTGACAGCACTGTGCCTGCATCGCCCTCTGCTTCAAACCACTGGTGGTGGTGGTGGTGGGGGTGGTGGTGGTGGTGGTGGTGGTGGTGGTGGTGGTGGTGGTGGTGGTGGTGGTGGTGGTGGTGGTGGTGGTGGTGGTGGTGGTGGTGGTGGTGGTGGTGGTGGTGGTGGTGGTGGTGGTGGTGGTGGTGGTGGTGGTGGTGGTGGTGGTGGTGGTGGTGGTGGTGGTGGTGGTGGTGGCGGGGGTGGTGGTGGTGGTGTTGGCGGGGGTGGAATCAGGTATTAGAAAATGCACAGAAGGAAGAAGAAACACAGGGAGAAGAAGCCAAACACATGGAGTGGGGAAGAGAGGAGAGGAGGAGATGAAAGGTACAAGAACAGGAGAACCGAACAGAGCAAAACGATCCCGACAATAAGGGGAGGTGTACCATGCAACAGAGGCTGTGTGGTTTGCTGAAAGGAGCTTCGCTTGCAAGAAAAGGAAACAAAGAGAAGAGAAGCGCACACCTTGGGAGTGGAGAGGAGAGACATACCTGCCAGAATTTGAGCATGGGGCCCGCAAGATCTGCTAGGTAGGGAGACGCGAAGCTGCACACACGAAGCAAAGGAAAGGAGTGACCAAGGCACAGAAACACAACAGCGCCACAACATGGGGCAAGGTTAAGTAAAAAAGTGCTGGCGTGTGGAAGGGAGGGGAAGTGAGGGATGCATTGATCTGAGCACAGCACCAAGCACCCACCAGCATCTCAGTGAACCGATTGTTGTTGAGCGACAATATGACAAGGATAATGACAACCACACCATTACACTGCTCCGTCCCAGCACCACACTACGCACCGGTCAGCCACGATGGCGGTGAGATCGTCAATGTCCTTGTTGGGCGGCACCCACACCTCTGTGAAGCGGTTCCGCAGCGCAGGGGACAGCTCCTTCTTGCCGTAATCGCCTCCTGGGTTCATTGTGGCTATGAGGCGGAAGTCTGGGTGTGCCACTATGTGCTCTGCCTCTGGCCCTCCCTTCTCTGCCAGAACCTGTGGAGCGAGAGAGGAAGGCATTTACAAGAGCGGGATATATGGCATGGGGAGAGAGGCAAAGTGAAGGGTGAGAGTAGATGGAAGCTTGGGAAAAACATTTTACAGTATAAATAAAAGGAAACACAGGGCTTGACAGAAGGAAACAGAGATGTGGCTGTAGCACTCATTCGATTTCAGCATAACGTGAAAGACTCTCAAATCCTTCGCCCGGCTGTCATGTCTCGCCAGTATTTCGTTCGTTCATCCCCAGGCCTCCCACTCTCTCACCAGTGTCCTCTTCGTCTCCAGCACACTGTCATCCGCCAGCGATATCTCATCCAGCATCAACACATTGCCACACGAGACTTGAAGCACCTCAAAACTCACCTTATTTTGAGGCGCCTCCAAACTCACCAGAGTCCTCTTCGTCTCCAACACACTGTCATCCACCAGCGAGATCTCATCCAGCATCACCACATCGCCAAACAAGTTTTGTTTTGAGGTGCCTCAAAACTCGCCTCATGTTGAGGCGCCCGAAAACTTACCAGAGTCCGCTTGGTCTCCAGCACGCTGTTGAGCCTCTCCAACACACTATCATCCGCCAGCGATATCTCATCCAGCATCACCACATCGCCACACCGCATGGCGCGCACCAGTGGCCCATCCACCCACTCAAACAGCGCCCTCCAGTGCCCCCCCACCTCCTCCAATTCCTCCAGCAGCCCCTCTAGCTCCTCCAGCGTCTGCTGCGTTGCATCATTCCATCCTGCAGCTACCGTGGCCTCCGCTGCTGCTGCCGCCGCTGCTTTCGCGATCGCTGCTGCCTCTGCCTCTGCAGCCTTTTTCACGGCCTTTTTCCGTTGTTTTTTCGCGGAGACTCTTCCTCCTGCTTCTGCTTCTGCCGCCGCCGCTGCCGCTGCAGCAGCAGTGCCTTCTTCTGTAGCCTTCACTGCAGCAGCCGCACCTGCCTCAGTTGCAGCCTGCTTCTTGGCCTTGAGTCTGGAAACCATCGTGCGGATTGATGCTGCAGTCTTGGGCTCTTGCTCAATCTCCTCTGACAGCTCCTCAAGCCCTGCTAGAAGCTCTGCCTTCAATCCCCCCTCCAATCTGCCATCCCCATCCACTGCCTTCACTGCTGCTCCCCCTTCTCCCTGTTCTCCTATCTCCTGAGGTTCCACAGGAGCTGCCTCTCCAGTGGGCAGAGCAGAGAGCAGGTGCTGTAACTTTCCAATGGTTACTGCGTACTGCTGCTGCAGAGGCTCCCTGTCCCTCATAGGGCGATACCCCTGAAAGTTGGCCAGCAAGTAAACGGAGAGTGTGAGGAGAGTGTTGGAAGTGGGTGAAGTTGAGACCAGACCAATAGAGAGGGCTAACGCGCACCAGCAGGACAAAAAAGAAAAAAGAAAAAAAAAAAACACACACACACACACACACACGCACACACAAAAAAACAACGCATACACAAAAGAAACAAGCAGATTAACAGGCACGGTAAAGAAGCACAAACGCAAGCCACCAGGGAAAAAAAAAAAAAAAAACAGCGCACACACAAAAGAAACAAGCAGATCAACAGGCAGTGTAAAGAAGCACAAACAGCACTGCGAGGGAAGAGCTGGAAGCTTACCCCAATGAAGTCAGAGGCGTCAGAGTGCTGGTGACAGTTGATGATGCGCAGTGTCTGCCCGCACGCCACTGCTGCGAGCTGCCCCACAGTCGTCTTCCCCCCGCCCGTCTCTCCCACCAGCAGCACCGGCTCCCCGTGGCGCAGACAGCGCAGCATGAGGTTGAAGAGGCGCGTCATGGCCCTCGTCCACACGACACTGAGGGAGGGGAGAGAGAGGGGAAGAGGCGTGAGTGAGGCTCTGCCGTTTGCGTTTGTGGCGCAGGCAGCGCAGCACAAGGTTGAAGAGGCGCGTCATGGCCCTCGTCTACACGACACTGAGGGAGGGGAGAGAGAGGGGAAGAGGCGTGAGTGAGGCTCTGCCGTTTGCGTTTGTGGCGCAGGCAGCGCAGCACAAGGTTGAAGAGGCGCGTCATGGCCCTGGGGGAGAAAGGGTACAGGAAAGGCCATGGGGGCGAGGAGAAGGAGAGGGATTGAAATGAATAATGTGAGGTGGCGCAGCACAATGTTGAAGAGATGCGACATGGCCCTTGTCCACACAACGACACTAAGGGAGGGGAGAAAGGGAAGGCTAGAGGCGAGGGGGGGGAGGAGATGCGAGTTAGAAGAAGCATGGGCACATCAAGAGAATCCCTGGTACGTTAATCTGGCAGCAGGCATGCCACATCCAGGAGAGAACCCATGAAATCACATCACGCACCCAGCTTCGCCGCTCACCTTCCCCCAAGCGATGCAAGGGCCTCCACGTGTGGATCCAGTGGAATGTGCATGGGAGGGGAGGAGGAGTTGTCGAGGGCATAGCCCCTATGTGCGTCTGACAGCATGCGAGCCAGCTGCTGCTGTGTAGATGGGTCGACCTGGGATGGTGGGGTGGGGGGTGAGTGAGGGGGTGCGGGGTTCAGGGAAGAAAGGACGGTTGGTAGAATTCGGCAAGTTAGACATTCTTGAGATTTCATGCATACACAGCCACTCACACACACAAGCATGCATACATGCACACGCACGCACGCATGCGCGCGCGCGCGCACACACACACACACACGTTCATGCGTGGCTAGACGCACACAGGCGCACTCAGGCACGTGCACGGGAAGCACACCCACCTGGTGCAGCGAGGCACTGTCTACTTCCGCCTTGAGCCTCTTCCTCAGAGTCTGCACCACCAGCTCCTTCTCCGGTTCATCCCTCAGCCTCTCTCCCAGCAGGTAGAAACCGTCCCGTGCCAGCTCTTCATAGCCCTGCTCACGCCGGGAAGTACAGGAAGCAGCCATGGGAAATGATGAAACGTGTCTACACTTCGGGGACGCCTCAGTTGAAGTTTCTCGCCCAGCAGGTAGAAACCGTCCGGTGCCAGCATCTGGTAGCCCTGCTCAGGCCGGAGAGCACAGGGAGCAGAACAGCCATGGTTAAAGACGGATCGAGGCTATTTCTTTAGGTGCCTCAAGAGTAGACTCTCGCCCCGCAGCCGCAGCCGCAGCCGCAGCTGTCTTAGGATCGTAAACACCTTAGTCGGCAATAGTCTACTTGCTATTGCTTATCGTGTTCTCCACGATCTCACGAATCCAATGATATGCGCAGCTCTGCTTGAAGTTGTCAATACACACTTCAGCAATTTTCAGAATCTCAAAGTTTCAATGTTGTCCAATGTTGTCTTTCCAGAATGAGTACAAACAGGTTTATAGTCAGGCAAGACACAAAATGCGATTCGTAACTTCACTTGTTTCCCAAGTAACCGCGTGCGCCTCGTTTCACCCCGAGTCGCACACGGAACCGAACCGAATTCGGTGAACACTCCTCAAGACCGAATCTGGAACCTTCTCGAACGCGCCTTGGTCTCAGACCACAATTTCCCCCGTCGATCTCATCCTCGATGCTTCTCCTTCTCTCTTCCTCCATTTCTTTGGTTCCTTCTCGATTTCTCTCCCGCTTCTCACGCCGTAGGCTGATTTCCACCGTTTCACCTAGAATCATCCACGCGCTTCCATTTCGCCGTCATTCCGCCGTCGTAGAGACTTTCGCCATAGGTTCCGTGGTTGGGCGAACCAACCCTAACAAGCTGCAGGTAGAAGCTTCCGTGTGCTTGCTACCTCCTCGTGGCCCCTTGCTCATGCGGGCGAGCACAGGGCGCAGCAGGGTAGCCATCGAAAAAGACGAATGTGTCTACATTCTGCGGGCTCCCATTGGGTAAAGCCCGTTCCGTGGCAGGTTCTTGGAGAACACTGCTCAAGCTAGGAAACATGGGAGAGAGGGAATCAAAAGCCGATGAACAATCTACCCTGTTCAAACCAGCAATCGCATCCACGCTCACAAACCCCTCCCACTGCCACCCCAACCACCCTTTGCCAAACCTTCTTCCAACCGGAGCCTCGCCACAAAGCTGCCATGGTTGACGACAGACCTCCACCAAAGCTGGCCACTGGCACACACTCTCTTGTGTAAACCCAGACACTGACGCCTACACATGCCATCGGCACTGCATTCCCCTTCCCTTCCCTCCCACGGCGCTGGTCACTCACGTGTGCATGGCGGTTGGCCCATCGGAAGAGGTCTCGTGGAGTGATGAACCCGTGCTTGCCTGCAAACACGGCTGATGACTGCCGGTGCCGCTGCAAGACTTTCATCACCTCCACCATCTTCGCTGCATAGCTGCGGGGGTGCAGAGTGGTGGAGGACGGACAGATGTACACAGTGGAATTGAGGTCTCTGAAAGAGTTTTGAGACGTCTCATCTCTGAAGGAGAGAATGGCTGGGGAGTGCATGGATGGATGGACGACTGCGTGTGGGACTGCCAGGTTTCTGACGAGCATCGCCTGCTTGGGCCCGCAGCCTGCTGCCCGCCTGCCTGCCTGTCACACACACACACACACGCACGCACGCACACAGTTTTGAGACGTCTCAAAACTAGGCCCGCAGCCTGCTGCCCGCCTGCCTGCCTGTCACACACACACACACACACACACACGCACGCACACATACGCACCTGGCGGGGATGAGGCAGCGCCGCTCAACGATGAGAGCAAGCTCGTTGTGGGGAATGTCATCCACATGCAGCTCCAGGAAGCGATTGCGGAACGCACGCGACAGCACCTGGGTAGTGCATGGACAGGGAAAAGAGAACGGAGAGGGAACCGTGGGGACAGGGGGAGAAACGCCGGGCAGGTGACGTGAGGGTGGCGTTATTAAGGAAGGGACCGAACCGTAGAGAAAGGATAGCAGGCGCCAGGAAGAAAAATGATAGGTGCGAATCGGGGAGAGAAGAACAAAGACGGTAAGGGATGCCCTCGCTGTCTGCGACACACACCCACATACAATTCTACCATCTCCTTCAGGTGAATGCGAAGCACGCAGCTTCCATTTTGTAGCTTACTCGCGCTATGACCAAATCAGACCAGATCACTTGTTGCTTGTTCATGGCCAGCCAGGCTCCGTCACTCCACCCCATACCTACCTACCCACCTTAAGCCCTATATGAATCAACCCATCCCCCAGTGTCCCCAAACACACCTTGCGACCTCCATAGAGGCCTGGAGGGTTCTGAGTGGCGAAGAGCATGAAGTGCGGATGTGGAGACACTGTCTCCTGCTCACACATGGGTGGGGTGGGCCCATGGGAGGGAAGCGTGGGCGGAAGGACACGTCATGGGGTCGGACAGACGGATGGTAAGGGGAAGGGAGAGAAGGCAGGCGGAAAGGGGGAGTGGTGAACAGAACAGGCCATGTAAGGCGAGAGATGGAGAAACGAGAGACATGCAGGAAGGGAGTATGTACAAGACACGACACGATAAATGAGGCCATCGAACACAACAGCTCCTCCTCACCAGTACAGTACCTCACAGCCCTGTGCTTTCAGGCATATCTGAACCGAACCTGAACCGAAGCACATCACACACACCTGCAGCTCAGGCACAAAGAGCTGGCGGTTGTCGTCCAGCAGTCGATTGAGTGCCTCCAACACGTCGGATGGTGCCTGCAGCCACAGGGGTAAGGGGGAAGACGGGGGGGAAAGAGGAGGAGGGAGGAGGGGGAGGAGGGCGAATTGGGAGATACACAATCCAAGCAGAGAACGGGGATAAGGCAAGGAATTTGGCAGGAGAGAGCAAAGGCAGCGCGAACATACAGCACCAACAATCACCGGCCTGACTAACCCGCCCTCAGCACTCACACACACGACCATAGAGTGCCTTATGTCTCTTTTGGTCATTATCAGAAGTAAGTAACGCATGCGACTCACCAGATTGAGCTCGTCAAGAACTATCCAGTGGCCCCTCCTCACTGCCTGCACCAACGGGCCTTCCTGCAAAGGTCACGGCATCAGGAGAAGGAAGACGAACAGTGGGCGATGTTGAGAAATTGTTGAAAATAGGAGCCGGGATGCCAGAGGAAGCAAGATGAGCAGATTGTGGGGTTCGGTCAGAGTTCAGTTCAGTTGTTCAAGTGCAGAGCAGAATATGCAGCAGAGATGGAGAAGCAGCCGGCTACATGCACCAGAGTCAGTGTGTGCATATGTACCTAGAACTAGCGGCCCGAATATATGGCGCACACACGCACGAACACACGCGAGTGCGCATGCACGCACGCACATACACACACACACACACACACATACACACGCACACACACACACACACACACACACACACACACACACACACACACACCTGGAACTTGAGGCGGCCGGACTTGTCTGTGATGTATGTGCCTAGGTACTCCTGTGGGAGAACAGGGAGGGGGAGGGGTAGAGGAGTGGAGGAATGGAGCAGAGAAGAAGGGAGAGTCGGACATGAGAGGAGGAGATGAACAAAAGTGGCTGAAGGGGCAAAGACAGGAGTTTGCTTCACAGGTCAAGAAGTGACGCACATAGGTAGAACAGCGCTCTGTGCGAGGAGGGGCAGCAGTAGAACGAGGAGCTGGCACCAGCAATGCAGCGAGCGGAGAGGCTGGTGAAGAAAAAGGAGGTGCAGGCGGAGCGAAAGGAGGAGCAATGCTCCGCCTGCTCCTCCTTTTTCTTCACCTGCCCCTCCGCTCGCTGCGTTGCTGGTGCCAGCCAGCTCCTCGTTCTCTTGCTGCCCCTCCTCGCAGAGAGCGTTGTTCTACCTACCTGTGCTTCTTTCCCTTTTTCCACGCCACCTAGGGATGAGCAAAGAAACGAACACCTGTTCGGTTCGCCTCGAATTGTTTGTCAGCTTAAATTGTTCGCCCGAACGTGTTCGAGGTTCGCCCGAACACGTTCGTGTTCGTGGCGCTGCTGCAGAACGCCCCGTGTCGAACACGAACGTGTTCGAGGTTCGCCCGAACACGCCTCCACAGGCGAACGGCGAACACCTGTTTTTGCCTAAACTGTTCGCCGAACCGAACAGTGTTCGGTTTGGCAAAAGGGTGTGTTCGAGAAGAGGCGAACACGAACATGTTCGTGTTCGCCCTTTGCTCATCCCTAACGCCACCTCATAAATGCAACAACCTTATTCACTGTGCTCACTCACACACTAGTGCACGAACCTGCAAATCCGTGTGCTCATGGTTGCTGATGCGCACAAAGCGGTGACCCGTGCGCTTAGCTAAGTACTCCACCAGACTGGTCTTGCCACTGGATGTGGGGCCCTGGGGGGTGTGAGGAGGACGGGAGTAGAGAGGGGAAAATAGGCGAGTTAAGGAGCTGAATGTGGAAAGCGCAAGACAGATGGGATTAAGGTCGAAAACAATAAGTTTTTATTATAATTTGTGTGGAATGGGAGAGTATGATATGAGATGCCTACCTAAAGGGTGATACAGTGCACACACAGCAAGGGAAGGGAGACACGAGAGGTAGAAATTCATGCGTACCCATGCCCACCCATGCCCACCCATGCCCCACCCATGCCCCACCCATGCCCCACCCATGCCCCACCCATGCCCCTCCCATGTACACCCATGCCCCTCCCATGTACACCCATGCCCCTCCCATGTACACCCACTCGCCCCCTGCCTCACCTGCAGCAGGATGGGGTACTTGCGCACGAGCACAGCACGTGCCAAGTTCTGAATGGCCTCCACACCCATGCGCACCCATGCCCTCCCATGCAAACCCACTCGCCCCAGCACCATACCTGCAGCAGGATGGGGTACTTGCGCACGAGCACAGCACGCGCCAGGTTCTTCAAGTGGGCCCTCACACTCATCATCACACACACTTATCACCATGAATACGCATCCACCTATGCACACCCAGCAACTCTTCTGCTTCACCTGCAGCAGGATGGGGTACTTGCGCACGAGCACAGCACGCGCCAGGTTCTTCAAGTGAGCCCTCACACTCGGTGTCGACACAAACTCCTCCGCCCTCACCCTCCCTGCCGCCGCCGCCTCTCCACTCTCCGTCTCCATCGCCCCTGCACCAGCACCACCAGCAGCACCAGCCGTACCAGCAGCACCACTCGCACCACCATTCATCTTCTCACCCTTCTTCCCTGCACCATCACTCGTCCCCCCCTCGCTCCCCTGCCTCTCCTCCATGTTCTCATCCCCGCCTTTTTCCGACCCTCTTTCTACCCAGAACTGCTCAAACAGCTCGTACTTGCCGCCCGGTCTGGGCGGCGCTCTAAGTAAGACTTTTAGTGGTGGCGCAGACTTGAGGAGGTGGCGGTGGATCAAGGCCTCCATGGTGGGCGCACAGGCGCGCTGGGGTGGAAGGGACGGAAGGGGGATGGAGGAAGCAGGGAGGGAGAGGAGTGGGGGGGGTGGGGTTGGGGGGGGGATCGGGTGGGGAAACGCGGAAGGAGGAGGGGATAGGAAAATAAACAAGGGAGGAGGGGGGACGAAGGTGGGAAAATAAGCGAGGGCGGAGGCGGGGGGAAGGTGGGAAAATAAGCAAGAGAGGAGGGGGGGGGGGGGGGGGGGGGAGGTGGGGAAAAGGCAAAGGAGGACGGGGGAGGAAGGTGGGATGATAAACAAAGTAGGGGAAAAAAGTGGGAACAGCAAGGGAGGAGGGGGGAGGAAGGCGAGAAAACAAGCAAGAGAGTATGGAGCAGAAAGGTGGGAAAATAAGTAACAGAGGAGGAAGGAGGAAGCGGAGAAAATAAGCAAGAGCAGAGGGGGAAGAAAGGTGGGAAAATAAGCAACGGAGGAGGGGGGAGCACGGGGGGAGGGGAGGGAAAGGCAGATAATAAAGACGTGTGGTTGGCAGTGGCGAGGGGTGGTTCAGCCCACAGACATCCGCCTACTCTCCCAATCCCTTCGCCCCCCCCCCCTAGCCAATCTCCCAATCCCCAAATCCCAAACTTCCCCCATCCCCCAGTTCCCCCTTCCCCCTGTCTTCCAGTCCACCACCCCTGCTCACATCAAGCAGAGTGAGGAAGCACATGGCAGCGCCGTCATAGAGCGAGCGGTGGAAGCCGTAGAGTGGCAGTGCTACACGCACGTACTCCAGAGCGCGTGCCAGTGTGCGCAGCGTGTACTGCGGCCGCTGGTTCGCCCCGTCAAACAGCGACACCTGGCACGTTGGGGATGAGTGGGCGGGTGGGGTGGAATGTGGTGCGGTGGGGTGGGTGTGTGTGGAATATGGGACGTCAAGGTTGGGGAGAAGTATGTGAGGAGTGCCAACAAGCATGCATGCGTACTACAGGGGTTAGGAGGAAACGAAGAGGGATGAAATCTGTTTGCTTGCACAGCATGAAAACTGCCTGCGAATCCCTCACCATATGAGCATTGAATACTGGGGAAAGCTGCACGTCCCCCCAACCATGGCATGCTTTCTGCATTGAGAATTGGTGACAGCTCTCTCACCAATTCTCTTGCATCTTGACACCTCACTCGCCTCTTGCCTCCTACAGCATGAACAAACGTGCCCTGGCTGGCCCCCCCATTCCCAATCCATCTCTAAACCTCCCCCCTCCTCCTTCCCTCCTGTTAGCACTTTCTCTCCCTCCCTCTCTCTCCCTCTCCCCCGTACCTCAGCCTCCTGTCTAGCAGCCAGGTAGAAGTCAACTATGTCGTCCACAGGAGGGGACGGCAGCAGACCCTCCAGATACTGGGGGGAGAATATGAGAGGGAACGGCAGGAAAGGAGGGGGGAGGGGGGAACGAATGGGGGAGGGGAGGGTGGGGGCGGGTGGGTGGGGGGAAAGAGAAACCAGTATGGTCAGAACAATGTGACATGACATGACATGTCCCCATGTGCATATCATGAGAATGTGGGTGGCACGAGCAAGCAAGCAAGCAAGCAAGCAAGAAAGCAAGCACCCAACTTGCATCATTTTCCTTCCCGGGTGACCTTCTCAGAGCCTCTGATGCTCGCAAGTTGTCAGCTAGCTCCTGCCAGCTGTTTGTGACTGACCGTGTGGAAGAGCATTTTGAGGTCATCGTTTTCCCTTTTGGGGTGACGTGACGACTTTTGAGGCGTCTCAAAACACAGCCATCCATTCACTTCACAGCACTACGATACAATACAATGCTGCTGACCAACTTGAGCCGCACGCTGCTGCCAGCTACTGCTAACAGCACACAGTGCTGCCGCCCACTGTGAACAGTAGCAGTATGCTGTCCCTCCCAGCTCCTGCCGGTTCCTAATCTCGTCCACAAACATGCATAAGCATTGCTGCATAAGGTTTAAGGTTTAGCCTCTCGAACTCCTAAGCACACCAACGCAATGCATACCATCCTGTCCCACCCCTCGCCACCGCACCCCACCCACATCCCACTGTGAAGCTCAAATCCTGCCGGCTGATGATCTCATCCACAAACAGATCTGTGACGCGCGAGCGGATGACTTTTGAAAATCCTCACAAACACATCATCCCTTATCACCGCACTGCACCCCCATCCACCCACCTTGAAGACAATACTGCCCAGCTCCTGCCGGCTGGTGATTTCATCCACAAACAGCTCTGTGAAGCGCGAGCGGATGGCAGGTGGCAGGTCCCTCTTGCCCACGTCTGTGGCTGGATTCATTGCTGCAAACAGCCTGAAATCCGGGTGCCGGGGAACCTGACAGAGACAGGGTGACAAGGGGTTCGGAGGTATGCAGAGGAGTTCAAAGGGGATTCGAAGGAGTTCTAATCAGAGTGGTTCCAGAGTGATTGCGAGCGATCCCGCATCCCCAACCAGCAAGCCGCAGAGCCTCTCAAGTGACTCGAGCGGAGCAAGGTTGAATTGAATTTCATCAGTGACCAGTTGATTTGAAGCACCCTCACAATCATTTACCTCCACGAACATGCACAAATGACACCTGTAGGCTGTTTCCATCCACCAACACCTCAGGCACATACCGCCTCAATATCCCCTCGCTCGGTGATTGCGAGCGAACCAGCATCCCCCTCCAGCACACCGCTCAGCCTCTCCAGCGTCTCCGGTGGTGCAAGGTTGATTTCGTCCATGAGCAGCCAGTGGCCCTCCCTGAGCGCGCGCACCAGCGCGCCCTCCACAAACATGAACGCAAAGGACGCCTCTGCTGCTGCTACTTGCCGCTCGGCCCGCGCCAGGTCTGTGGAGAAACGCGCCCATGCTTGTGCCAACTGGGGAAGGAGAGCGGGTGCCGAAGAGGGGAGGGAGTGAAGAAGGGAAGAGGGTGAAGGTTGATTTCGTCCATGAGCAGCCACTGGCCCTCCCTGAGCGCGCGCACAAGCGCGCCCTCCACAGACATGAACGCAAAGGACGCCTCTGCTGCCGCTACCTGGCGTTCCGCACGTGCTAGGTCCGTGGAAAAGCGTGCCAACGCTTGCGCCAGCTGGGGGGGGGAGGGAGTAGGGGAAAGGGGGGAAGAGGCGGAGGGCATGGGTGAGGGGAAGACGAGGAGAGGGGGAGGGGAGGGGGAAAGAGAAGTGGGAGTGGAGTAGGGAAGGGAAAGAATGGTTGAAGGGAGTGCAAAGTGTGAACAGGAGAAAGGGCAGGGGGGAAGGGGGGGGGGGGGGGGGGGGGGAGGGGGGTGTGATAGGGAAAGAGAAGTCGCGTGGTGTGCAATGCAATGTGCATGCAATGTGCATGCAATGTGCATGCAATGTGCATGCAATGTGCATGCAATGTGCATGCAATGTGCATGCAATGTGCATGCAATGTGCATGCAATGTGCATGCAATGTGCATGCATGCACTGCATGTGAAGACCACCCTAGGAGAAGGCAGGGAAGTGAAAATCACTCTCTCCCTGGCGCCAACAGTCCCATCCCTTCACAGCATTACCCTCCTCCCCTCCTCTTCCTTCCATTCACACACACGCGCGCACGCGCGCGCACACACACACACACACACACACACACTCACACACACACACACACGCACCTCGCCATCCAGCCTCTTGGTCCTTTTGGCACTGCGTTCAGGCTTCCCTGACTCCGAACCACCGCCAGCATCACCACTCCCACTGCCGGTAGCGCCACCACCATCACTGTCAGCACCCGCAGCACCAGCAGCTCCAGCAGCACCAGCAGTACCAGCAGCAGCAGCAGGAGCATGAGCGGTAGTGGAGGCAGGGGCACGAGCGTCCGTGTGCGGAGCAGGAGCAAGCAGGTGAGCGACCTTGAGAGCGGTGGAACGGAAGGCAGAGAGCAGCAGTGGCCACTTGCCCTTGGCTGCCAGACGACTCAGCCGCAGCAGAAACTCCGCATTGCGCTGATGAGGGGGAAGAAGGTGGTGGGGGGGGGGGAGAGGGGGGAAACGGGGAGAGCTTCAGCCGAGGACAGGGAAAGTGGAGGTGGTTATAGGCAAGCGGAAACAAGAATAAGAGAGATGTGGAAGGACGAACTAGTGCCACACATGCGCAAAAGGACAGAGCGTGGTGGGGAGGGTGGATGAAAAGGGAGGGAGGGGGTGCTAGAGAATATGGTTACACCATATAAGACGAGAGAAGTAACGTGACGAGAAGGAAACACAGGCACGAAGACAATTGAAATCAACGAGAGGAGAATGTCTCAAGAGACTGTTTAAAAAAAGGGGGGGGGCTGTGATCTCAAACACTTGCATTGCGACAGCGCATGGCAGAGCAGAGGAGTGCAGTGGGATGGCACCTGGGAGGGGAAGGTGTTGGAGAAGAGCGAGGTGAAGGAGTGGTAGAGCGCCAGGCACACCACACGCTGCTCCACCGGCTTGAAACCCCCCAGGAAGTCCGCACTGTCACTGTGCTGGCTCATATTCTGGTGGGGGTGATGAGGGTTGCACACGAGGAGAGAGAGAAAAGAAGGGAGGGAAGGGGAACGAGGGAAAAAATGTGTTGTGTGAGACATGCAGGAGAAGCATGCGAGGATATGAAAGGCAAAAGACGCGTGAAACGGTCAGAAGTATTAACGGGCAGTAGAAGAGGATGAACAGGGAGCGTTGCAACAGGATGCATGACATTACAAGGTAACCCTGTAGAATGCTTGACGGGGAAAGAAAACTCCAACAAAATCTCCAGACAAAAGCAGAGTCAAAATCCACTACAACCGAACTCAGGCCGCAAGACTCAAACCAACTGCTTCAGTGCGCAGCAGCCATAGCGCACGCCTCACGGACTTCCAGCCCAACCACCCCAAGAGTGACGCTGGTTCACAATCACCTCTGCTTGCCTTCAAAGAGAGGCATTTCACAAACTCACAATGACGGAGAGGCCTCGGCCTGCCATGCGTGCCAGGTGCTGCACCGTGGTGGTCTTCCCCGTGCCCGTCTCCCCCACCAGCAGCACGGGCTCGCGCTGCCCCACACACACCGCCACGCGCTCCATCAGCCGCAGCACCGCCCCCGTTGCTGCAAACGCCATGCTGTTCCCTTCACTGCTGTCGTTCGCCTGGAGGGGAGAGAGAGGGAGAGATAACTTTTAGGTCAACTCAAAACCCACCAGCAGCACCGGTTCTCGCTGCCCCACACACACCGCCACGCTCTCCATCAGCCGCAGCACCGCCCCCGTTGCTGCAAACGCCATGCTGTTCCCCTCACTGCTGTCGTGCGGCTGGAGAAGAGAGCGCGAGCCATGGGGTTGCAAGAAAACAGGGCTTGTATGTTCACACATGTCCAATAGAGTGCGTCGGTAAGAAGACTGAAGAAAGAAGCAGGACGATGTAGAGGCATGCAGTGCAGTTGGACAGACAGACGCTGATGCTGCAGTTGGGCATTCTCGGGCACCCTGAACCATGTGCCTAACCATGTGGCAGACCTGAACCTGACCTGGTTAGAGCTCAGGGTTCGGGATCGTACCTGGTGCAGGCGCAGAGGAACGACAACCCTGCCCACTCGAAGCTCCAAGGAAGAAGCCTGAGAATGGGGAAGAAGAGAGGAAGCGAGGCAGGGAGGCAGGGAGGGAAGGAGAAGCGGTGTTTGGCTACTTCAGGCACCTACGGTCCATTTCAGTTCATTCATCCAGAGCTGGTGATTGCACCACAACTAATCTCTCTGTTTTTCAAGTCAAGAATATGCAAAGAAAATATATAAAAATGGGAGGACAAGTGCACCACAAGCAGGCATGAGAAGCGAGCATGACGGGTTGGGTTGGGTCCATGTGGCTCGTACATGAACAGTGGGCTGGTACAGTGAGTGCAGCTGCAGAGCATAGTCAGTGGGTAAGCCACAGAGCAGGGCGAGATGCGCCATGAGCGCACAGCGCTGCTCTGGACTCGCCACACACGCCACCAGGCAATCCACCACCTGGAAGAACCACGGGGACAACAATGAGAGGGAGAGGACGAGGCGCCTAAGAAACAATGGGAGGGCTCTGTACTGGCCACACACGCCACCACGCAATCCACCACCTGGAAGAACCAAAGGGACAACAACGAGAGAGGGAAGGGAAGTATGGGAGCAGCATTTTGTGCAGAAGGATGCAAGTACGGTGTGCAACAACAAAGTGGAGCACGGATAAGCCCAACCGGGTTGTTCTGAGACTTGCTGTGGAGGAAAAACAGAGAGAGGGCTGACCTCAAAGTAAATGCGCTCGCGGACAGTGAGTGGGAGGACCAATGTAGGCGTGGGTTGAGTGGGGATAGAGGCGGGGAGTGGCAGGGAGTGCAGACGAAGGGCAATCTTCATGGTGTCTCTGTGGGAGTGGGAGATAGACAAGACAGAAAGGGGGGAGCGGCAGATGGTGTTGGAATTAGCCGGGCTTGGGGCAGTGGTGAGGGAGGAGGGGAAGGCGTGGCGAGGAGCGGAAAGGGAATGCAGTGAGAGAGCTATCTTCATTTTGTGTCTGGTGAAAATGCTGTGCATTGGAAAGAAAATGAGAGAGAACGGGAAGAGGCACATGACATTGCGCTAGCTAGCCAGTGCCAGCTGCCCTTCTGAGGCCCTTCCACGGCTAGTGATTAGGAAGCAAGATTGCAATGGGATAAGAGGAACCAGGTGGCACCTGGGACTTAGTAGCATGTTACAAAAAGGAGGTGACAGGACACTCTAAAAAGCACAGGTGTGTGTAACTGTGAGTGTGAGTGTGAGTGTGAGTGTGAGTGTGAGTGTGAGTGTGAGTGTGACCCACGATCTGACTGATGGCCTGACTGACATTGGGTTGTTGACCTACCTGAGCATACACCAAAATAAACATTAAGAAACACCTGAGTGGATGCATTGCAGTGCACACCTCAGAGAAACCTGGCGGCTGTATCGAACGGATATTCCTCCTGATGCAGCAGCTTCGGCAACAGCTGCAATCAGCTGCTGCTGGTGCTGGTGGTGTTGGAGGAGAGAGGAAGAGAGAGGCACGCCGGATGCTACCCTCCCTACAGCTTCAACCAGGTCTGACCGGAGAACGTGGTGATAATTGGGGCAATAAAGAGGAGGGGCGGGGGGGGGGGAGATGAGGGAGGCGGGAGAAAGGCGCGGCGAATCGAGGGGGGTCGGTATAAAGGATGGAGAAAATGGAAACAAAAACGGAACAGTATATCAGAAAACAGAAACAAACAAAACAAGGAGAGAGCGGTGACGTACCAAGGAGAGTGGGGACGAGGGCGGAGAGGGAGGGAAAGGAGGAGGTGAGGATGGTGGGCAGCTCAGAGGCGTGTGGTGGGTGGATGTGCACGGTGTGGAAGTGGGATGCCAGTAGCGAGTCCACTGGGAGGGGGGGAAGGAAGGGGGGGTGTGGGGGAACAGAGGACAGCACAGGATAGGGGGAAGGAAGAGCATGGAGGCGTGTGGTGGGTGGATGTGCACGGTGTGGAAGTGAGACGCCAGTAGCGAGTCCACTGAAGGGGGGGAAGAGCAGAGCACAACACAGGGGAAGAACGCAGACGCAGGGCGAGGGATAAGATGTAAAGGAGGGGGAGGGGAAGAGAGAGGAGGAAAAGGGGGGGTGCGAGAGGGGGGGAAGGGGGGGTGGGATGTGCACGGTGTGGAAGTGGGAGGCCCACAGCAATTCCAGTAGGAACCAGAAGGTAATGTCATTTGCAACATTAATGTGGCAAAAGAAAAGGAGGGTGGTGCCTTCATCTCCAGCAGGAGCAGCGGGAGCAACAGCAGCAGCAGCAGCAGGACTCGCTCACTTGGCTGACTCACCTCCAGACGCTGCTGAAGAGCGCAAGGACGAGGATGCAGCAACGGCCTTAGTAGCAAAGATCTGAAAACCATCCGCTGCTTGCAAGGGCTGTGGGGGAGTGAGGGAGAGGGAAACAATGGCAGGCAGATGTGAGTGCGGTGTGGAGCGGTGCGGTGAGTGCAGGCACGGAGGGGCCGGGGCCCGGGGTGCGTGGGGAATGGCAACACGTAACACTTCAAATTAACGGAAGTAGATTCTTCTTGAAGTGAGGGCACACATTCGAGTGGGCTGGGACAAAGGTTCATCACTTACCTCCGGTTTTCCAGGGGAATTTCCTTCGCACGTGTTTGCTTACGTATGACAGTTCTTTTGTGTGTTTTACTTCGCCAGGGCAAATCCACTTCGCCAAACCCCAACCAAAAATCGCCCAAAAACTAGCACGTCTGAACATGCTAGGCATGGTGAGCGCAGGAGCGGCAGGAGTAGCGTACGTACCTGGGAGTGGCCGGGTAGGTGCAGGCAGCGGTCCTGCAGGAGAGGCAGCAGCGAGGACAGCAGGTCGAATGGTGCCCCTGAGATGTTCTCTAGCAGCACCCACAGGCCCCGCGCTGCTGCCTGTGAGGGGGGAAAGGAGGGGTGCCAGAGGTGGGGGAAGTGAAGGGAGGGGGAGGGTGGTTAAGGTGGAAGGGAAGGAAGTGGGAAGGCCAAAGATGGGTTGTAGAAGGAGAGAGAGAGCAGCAAAGGTGAATTTTCTCAGGTAAAGAGAAACAGAGAGGGGGATGGATGGGGGTGGGTGGGGAGTAGAAGGTACAGAAGGAGGGGCGGTCGGGGAAAAGAGAAACAAAGAATGCATGTGGGGGAAGAACGGAAAGGCAGTGGCAGAAAGGCAAGGAAATGAGAAGAAAGGCAAGGCAGTGAAAAGACAGGCCAAAGGGCAAGCAAAGCAGTGAGAAGACAGGCCAAAGAGAAAAAATGCGGAAAGATAAGGCAGTGAGAGTGAGGAGGGCGTACGAGGGTGAGGACGCCAGGGCGCCATTCAAATTCCCCAGGGACATCCGTGCACACATAGGAGCCTAGCAGTGTCTTGCCATCCATCTGATCGTCCATGTGCACTCGCACCATGTCTGTGGGCGGGAGGAGTGGGGAGGAGGAGAGGGGGGGACGGGAGAGAGCGGGAGAAGGGGGAAGATGGGGAGAGGGGCAGAGGGGGAAAGGGGGAGATGGACAGAGGGGGAGGGGGTGAGAAGGGCACAGGAGAGGGGCAGAGTTGGAAAGAGGAAGGGGCAGAGGGGGAAGGGGAGGTGTAGGCGAAGGGGTACTTTGTTGAACAGACAAACATCTCTCTTGAAAGCGGCGGCATGTTCACTGAATCATGTGCTTCAATCAAGGCACGGACCCACAGAAGAACGACAGCCATAACACACGAGCCACCCTACCAGCCAGCCACTGACAGAACCACCACCACCTCACCACTCCCATCCACCCACCACCGCACCATCCAGAACCACTATCCATTACTAAAGAAGCCACCCACCAGCCATCACCATCCCCACTCACATCCCCAACCCCATCCCCACCCCCACCCTCACCCCCACCCGCAGCCCGCACCGTAATTGCGAGTGCAGTGGGCAAGGAAGTCTACAAGAGCCGTCTTGCCGCTGCCCACGGGTCCTGCGAGCAGCAGCGGCTGGTGCTGGCACAGCGAGAGCACGAGCGACTGCAGGTTGCTGCGCGCCGTGGCTGTGCCCACCAGACGCGGGGAAGCTAGTGGGGAGGACGATGCGGTTCTGAGAGAGTGTGGGAGAGATGGAAGTGGGGAAGAGGGGGAAAGGAAGGTGGGATAGTGGGATGAACGGGGATGAGGGAGGATGAGGGGGGAGCGACTGCAGGTTGCTACTTGCCATGGCTGTGCCCACTAGATGCGGTGAGGCCAGGGGAGAGGACGATGCGGTTCTTAGGAGAGTGGGGGAGATGGAAGCGGGGAGGAGAGGGAGAGGAGGGGGCATAGTCGGACGAATGGGGAGAGGGAGGGTGCGGGAGGAGTGGGGTGTGGGGAGACGAACACATTGAAGAGGGCGGAATCAAGATGCAGACGGGGGAAGTACAGGAGAAAAGAAGAGCACAGGAATAGGGAGGGCAGGGGGAGGAGGGAAAGGACAAGGTGAGGTAGAGTGGGGGGGAAGAGCGGGAGAGGAGAGGGGGGAGAAGGGTTGGCTTCAAATCATAATAACCATGACAACACAGTCGATCTGGAATAACTGCTAGTCATCTGGTGGTATCATAACCAAGAGCAGAGCACTGTTCGGTCACTGCTCTCTCACTCGTTCGTTCATTCATTCATCTCATCCATTCACTCACTCACGCACACACACACTCGCCCACCTGCCAACAGGGCGCTGAGGCAAATCCACTCCGAGCACAGAAACCGTGTTGAACCGCGACGTGCTGCTTGCCGTCAGCACTCCCGCCCCCCCTCCTCCTCCTCCACTCGCCGCCTCTCCCTCGCCCCCCCCGCCACCGTCAAAGGAGAAACCAGCACCCGAGGTAGTCAGCACGGGGGCATGAAGCGGTGAAAGCGGGGAGGGAGCAGAGGCACCGCTGGGATCCGTGCCTGGTGTGGCAGAGGCATCTGCATCGCTGATGGTGGCTTGCAGTGAGGCGGAGTGGAGAGGCGAGAGCAGGAACATGGGCGCCCGCTCCGCCTCCACATGTGTGGCCAGCTGACGCCAGCTGGGGAGGCGAGGGGACGGGAGAGGACAGGTTGGGAGACAGGAAGGGTGTGGGTTGAGTTGAGGAACACGCGGAGAAAAGGTGTGGAAGGGGGGGGAAGGGAAATAGGGAGGAGATGAAGAATATGTATGCGCTATGCTTCGACAGTGCACCGATGCACGGATGCACGGGAATCGGGATGGATGGATGGACCACACGCAGAGGCCATACTGCCACAGGACGCAGGGCCAAGCAGGGGGCCAAACGCATGCGGTGAGAGAGCGAAAACACAAGGCTTGCGTGTCCTGCACGCACACACGCCCACGCGCCCTGTCCTGCAGGCAGAGCAGGGCCCACGCCACAGGACAACTTTTGGGACGTCTGCGCCCTGCAGGCAGAGCAGGGCCCACGCCACAGGACATGTGGTTGGTCGGGCTTACCGGAAGTGAAAGTGAGCACGGTGTGTGGCAGTGAGAGCACACAAGGCGGAGCCCACACGAGTGCGCGTGGCCTCATCAAACGATAGCACCAAAGACACTATCTCCAGCGCCACCCACCGCACCTCCTCCCACTCCTCCTCGCCCCGCCTCCCCGCCTCTTCCTTCCTCCCTCCGTTGTTGCTCGCCTCCTCCGGCTCGTCGGATCGGGTGTGTTGATGGGGGGAAGAGGATGTGGGCAGGAGGAGGGGGAAGAGAGGCGACCAGTCCCATAGGGAAGCGAATGTAGGGAGGGAGGTGAGGAGGAGGCGTAGGGACGTACGGAGGGAAGGCAACAGAGCAGAGGGATCCTGCGAGGAGAGAGGGGGTGGGAAGGAAGGGACATGTGAAGGGAGTGTGAGAGTGCTGGTGTTGACTGGGAGGTGCAATGCACAAGAAGGAAAGGGAGACAGGAGTGATGCAATCAAGCGTTTGCTTGTGTCGACTGGCATGATGCATGCATCAACCAACCATATTTGTGTTCTTCTCTAATCACGTGAGGCAGCCAACAGATCAAGGGCGGGAAGAAACAGCGTTACAGGCGGAGCCATCCCTTTCTTTCTGAGCCACACCAACCAACGCCCGCAGCAACAAACGCAACGCCAGTCAGGTCAGCCAATCAACCAGTCAAGGCTCACCTCAGCACTGGCCCCTTCGTTAAAGTCACACAGCAGGAGCCTGAGGAACGGAGGCGGGTGGGCAGCAAAGAAAGGCCTGAGGTGGTTCACGCTGTGCGGAGCAATGGCTAGAACGATGCTCAGCGCCTCACACACCGTCTCATACTCCTCCACCCTTCTTTCGCCTCGCCCTTCCCCTTCCTCCTCCTCGTCCTCCCTGCTCCCTTGCCCCTCTGCCTGCGTGCCCCTCTTCCCCCCTGCTTTCATCTTCCGTCTCCACCTTCCTTCCGATGCACGTTTCCCCTCCCCTGCTTCCCCTTCCCATTCCATTCCATCTGCACCCTCCGAATCCCCCTTCTCTCCTTCCCGTCCCTGACAAGGCACTCCCTGATCCTGCTCTTCCTCCTCCTCCTCCTGCGCCTGCTGCCCGTGCTCCTCTTTCCCCTTCTCCCTGAGCCCCTCGCCCGTGCCCCTGCGTCCCTGCTGCCATCGCGCCGTGGCTGCGCGCAGCAGCGGCAGCAGCACGCCGCGGAAGGCGACAGCAACAGCAGCGGCATAGCGCGGGTTGAGAAGCAGAGGGGCCACGGTGCTCTCAACCTGCCAGGTCGCCGTGGGGGTGATGGTGGGCGGGTGGATGGGGGGTTGGGTGTGCGGGTGGGTGGGTAAGGAGAGAGTGACGGACGCAGGAGAACGTCACAGTCAAACCCCTTCATCGTGGCAACCACAAGTGACAAGCACAGGTGGCACACACAGGTGACAACCACAGGTGACAAACACAGGTGGAAAGCACACGTGGCAAGCACAGGTGGAAAGCACACGTGGCAGGCACAGGTGGCAAGCACAGCTTGAGACAAAACCCTCAACCTCGACTGTACCCAGGATTTGTTGAGGTGCAACCAGCAAAAGCTCATGGATGCAATCCGAACACCAATTACGGTAGGGCTATCTGGCCTCCACGCACGGAGGATCAGAATTCCGCCAACATCGTGACTCGAAAAGTTCACTCCTTTAAAAAACCGACATTGTCTAAACAATCTGGAGCTCAGTTATTGGCTCGAGTAAACCCCAAACCCTGAGACTCCTAAAACCCTTGTGAGATCGAGGGCGGTTGACTACAAAAGGAAGCGAAACAGTTCAAGCTCAACGAGACCGCAGCCAGGCGCCCAGCCATAAAAACGATATCACTACTGGACAGCCAACCCTAAACCCTGCCGCAAACTGGGGAGGCCTTTGTCTCAACCCACAAGACCTTCGAGGCTTTCGCAGCACCCATTTCCACCTCGCCTCCCTACTGGACAGACTTGAACGACTGCTCACGGAGCAAGAAATGTACATCTCAATCACTCCCTCCTATCCTCTCGTGCACCCGTTGTCCGCCCTCCGTCTCCCACCCCCTCTGCTGACCTGCTTCTTCCCCGCCTGACTGTGCGCTTTTCGCTCCCCGAACCCTGCTTCCAGACACTGCGTCCGCTTCTCAACCCATCTGGACCTCTAAACTCCGTTAACCCATCCGTTCCTTTTTGTTCCCTCCCGCCGCTCCTCCCCCCACTTAGCGCCGATTCTCCCGCCTTGCCAATTCGCCACCGACCATTCTCATGTTCTCCCCTTTCTCCTCCCATAAGAATAAAAAGAACATCACAGCCACACGACGCACCTCGTCCCATCGCAAGTGCGTCTTCGCAGCGGCCTGTCGGATCGCGTCTACCGACTGTAGCTCCGGGAATCGCGCAAGCAGCGCGACAGCCGCCCGCTTCCACTCGCGGCCCTCACCACCCGCCATCCCCGCCGCGCGCGTACCGCGCGCTCGCCGCGCGTCGCCTTGTAACGGGTACGATCCTCAACAGGGCTCTTGCTCGCTGTATGCCTCAAGGAACAACCAGCAATAGGATTGGTGTACAACGAAGTACTTATGACTAATCGAAGAAATTCATGAGGAGTCTACGAATATGCTGGAATTGCAACCGACCGAAACGAGGTGAAAATGTTACACGGTAGATGATAGCATGAGCCTTCCTGCCGTGGCGCCAGCCGACGGTTCTAATCGAGTCCCTGCAAGCAGGGGTCGTGTGCTTGGATGGGAATAAACGCGAATGGTCGGGCGGGAATCTAACAACTAGCCACGAACATTGTCACAAAACTGAAGACAGGCATCAAGTCGGCTGCTGGGGGGATTGACAGCTTTTGCAGTAAGGAGCTCCACAGAAACCCGAAACCCCTGCAAACAACAACCTAATGTTGGTTTAGTGATGATGGGGGTGAGGATGGAAGCCACGTGTACACTTTACAAACTCGAATGAACTAAATGGAACGAGCAAAACGAGGATTTCACTAAAGGGGCAAAGGAAAAGAATGAAAGTTGAGGGATCGAGCTAGAATTGCATTATCTAAGCAAAAATACAATGGGCGAAGGCATGAGCGAATTGTTATATAGCGAAGAGCATTTCGGCAACGAAAACGCGCTCGCGAAAAGGCTCCCCTTGGGCCTCATGCCGAGCTTGGGAAAATGTCAAGGTCTAGGACCGGATCGTGGGTTACCAGCTGAGCCGGGTGGTTTGGGCGCGGTGCTCTCGTTGGCGGGAACAGTATCTATGCGAGTTTTGCGAGGTGGTAACGTGCCACTGTTGGATGTACAGTAGCGGGGAACGGCCATGTACGCTTTATGTTGTGTGACGCGACGTAAGGAAAAGTTGTTTCCTTACACTACCCCCCTTCCCAAGTGAGGCCTCCTTATGAAAGCGTATGTATGTCACGGAAAGTCTGGCTGTGCAGATATTCGATGAGGATGGGGTGGTTTTAAATTTTCCAGGGAGGTGTTTGGTCTTTCCAGGGAGCCAGGAACGCGGTGCGTCGTGCTCCACGCGGGTCGCGTACTCAATGACTTTAATATCTTTTCGGGCGCGAAGATTGGCTCGGTCGGCGGGCGTCTCATGCTCGACGGACGGCTTCGTGACAGTTGACTCGTTGATGGGACATAGGGGCGGAAGAGGATGACGTGGAAGGACGGGCCAACGTACCAGTCGACGGGTAGGAGGTGGGCGATTACGGAGGTGATCATGTGGCTGATGCGTGATGCCCTGCAATATCTCAGGCGTAACTTTGGGGTGATGTGCAGACGGAGGTTTTTGGGTGTCGCGCAGAACGAGGTAATCGGACTGGTAAGTCTTAGGGCGGCGATGGCAATCAGCATTGCGCTTAGTGATGATGTTTGTTTTTGTTGTTGTTGTTGTTGTTGTTTTTTTTTTTTTTTGCGTCTGCCGCTCGGGTCCGGGCTGCTTGCAAATTTTCAGCGAACTGCTGTACACGTGGGACAGAGTTGTCTGGAGTCGACGTCATAGGTACTATCGGTTTTTGCCTGTAATTGAGGTCGAACGGTGACTGTTGGGTGGTGGTGGACGTGGAGTTTGTTTGCAAACTCAATGAGTGGCAGTTGTGAGAATAGGAATGAGTGATGACTAAGAAAAATGAGTTGGGTACAAATATGAAACCCTAGAAAACTGTACCCCATAGTGTCTACCCCATTACAGCCTAGACAGGCTATGTGATAAATGTTTGACACACCCCCATAGGCAAAGTGGGGGAGAACAAGGGGTCACAAGACCAGTCAAGCAAAGCAAAGCAAAGCAAGCTCAGGGTGGATCACAACGTCACCACACATTCCGAGCACAGGTTCAAAGGCCACAAGGCCAGTTCACATGCAGGATTATATATAAAAGGTAAACAAGCAAGTGCAGGTATATATAGATCACAGTACAGGTAAAGTCAAGAGGTAAGCAAGTGAGGCAAAGTAGGCACAAGACCTAGCATAGTACAGAAGCGCTGATGATCACAAGGCTGAAGTGCCTTGGTGAAGATATCAGCAGTGTTGGCCTGGGAGGCCACGTAAGCAAGACGCAGCTGACCACGCTGCTGCAGCTCACGAGCAAGGAAGTAGCGAAGAGCAATGTGCTTCGTTCTGTGCTCCAGTCTGTGCTCCCGACACAAGGCCAGCATGGCCTTGTTGTCTACGTACAGAACCGGAGGAGAACGAGGCTGCTCACCGAGGTCAGTCAGCAGGTAGGTGAGCCAGCGTAACTCCTGTGCAGCCATGGCCCCTGCGTAGATCTCAGCCTCACAGCTGGAGCTGAGAACAGAAGACGAGCGAGTAGACCGCCACGAAACAGAGCCGGAACCAAGGCTGAAGGTGTAACCCTGTGACGACCGCTGCGTAGCCAGGTCGTCCACCCAAGACGCGTCTGCGTGACTAGTGAGGACCACTGGACTCCGCCCTCCAAGCACTAGCCCCATGCCCGACGTACTGCACAAGTAGCGCAACACCCTCTTCGCTGCAGCCATGTGCTCTGGTCGGTGTCTCCCAGGAGCAACATAGCGTGCCAAGATGCTAAGAGGGTATGCCAGGTCAGGTCGAGTGCAGGTCATCAGGTACATGAGGCAGCCAACAAGCTCTGGGTACGGGCCACTCGGCTCTACGGACTCATCCGAAGGTAGAGCTGAGAGCGAGTGGCGAGTAGACAGAGGAGTGGCCTGAGGCGAGGAGTACGTGAAGTCGAAGCGCTGAAGGACCTGCTGCACCATGCGTGACTAAGTCAGGGTAATGGTGCGCCGTGCTCTGTCCCGAGTGATCTGCAAGCCAAGATAGCTGCGCAGTTCACCCAGGTCTGTGCACGTGTGTCTCTTCTGCAGCTCGGACTTCACGT